ATTCAGACCGAACTGGCAACCCGACCCTGGGTCCCAGCTCGTCCCAAGCCAACCCAGGCTAACCATTCCACATTTTAGTTGTTAAGCAGGTTTTAAGAATTAAAACACTAACTTGGGTACATTGCTCGGCTTGCCCATAACCGAGGGCGCGGCTATTCGAATAAATTATACTCTGATCAGAGGTGTACATCTTTACCCACAAGACACATCTTCCTCACGTGTAACCACGTGCCACATACCACCACGGTATACAGACAGAAGACGTGACATAGTTTCCAACCCATCCTAGCCATAGACAAGAGTACCGACCCAATCCCACCTACGGCCGGAACCCCCGGGACAGGCAGGCAGGACTGAGCCCCTAGCAGCAGGACACCGGCCCTGTGCCATGACATCTCGACTACTGGGCCGCAGCTCGTGTAGCCTTCATTTGCCCTGGAGATGTCCATCGACCCCCGACTTCTTCCATCTCCATCCGTGTACTTTTGTTTATAACCAGACTGAGCCACAAACTAAGCCTTACCCACTAGACATGTGGAAGTACGGTAGTGCTATGCAACGGAGGCCCGAAGACCGGTCCTTATATGGCCGAGGTGCTACTATCAAAACCATGCACCCCGAGCCCAGCCTAAAACCATTTTGGGGATTTTGAATAGAAGGAGCGGTGTGAAGCCAATTCCACAATAACCAAACCATTCCATAGTATCCAGGTGATATGAATATTCCCAAAGTCTAGAGTTGAAAAACCACCTAATGTTACCTAATTAAAAAGCGAAGCATCTAACTAAAATCATACAAGTGATACCATGAGTAGAGTGTCCACTAGTTGGGGTTTTGTTTATTCTAGGGTGAACAAGGTAATAATAACAATACAATAATAAGGTCATAACAAAGGTAAATAGGCATGGCTAGATAAAACAGTGATAACGCGGGAATTTAAATAAAGCGATAATGCAATAATTTAAATCAACATAATTTTATAAACTGGGATTCAATATGTTCAAGGATGATGTGACTTGCCTTGCTCGCTTTCCCAAACGTCGGCTTCAACCTCCACGAAGAGCGGATCTTCCGAAGCTGCAGCATCTACACGACCAACGGAAAAGAAAAGGCTTATACTCTAATAAACTCCATATAACAAGCAGAAACAAAGCACAAAAATGGGTTCTTGACTTCTTAAGGAGAAATTAGAGACTTGAACGGTCCAATTCCGAGTTCAAATGGTCAAGTTATGGCCATTTGAAGTTTATATGCTCTTTAAATGGATATTTGCGAATTTCTTCATTTAAATTTTAATTTAAAATCGGATTTATTGCGTTAGCCGAGGGGAGGAGCGCGCGGACCGGGTCCACGGGAGTGGGGCCCACGCGGCAGCCTCACGGTCCACGGTGGACCGGGTGCACCCGGCTCACACCGGCCGGCGCCGTGGGTCCCACGCGTCAGCCGCACCCGAGGGCGCGGGCGGCTGACGACCGGGCCCCACATGGCAGCCGCGGGGCGCGCCCGAAGGCGGCCACGCCGGCACAGCCGACGGGAGGTGGCGCACCCGCGCCCCGATGGTCGCCGCCGGCGACCACCAGCGCGGCGGAGCGGCGCCCGAGAGAGATGAGGGAAGGGGGAAGCGAAACGGCGGTCCACGGCTCACCCCGGGTCGACAGCGACGACGGGAACGGCGACCGGAGCGGAGGAAGGCGGCGGCGCGGCTCGGGTCGACGGGGACGGCGGCGTTCCGGCGGTTGGCGGGCGAAACGGAGGGGTGGACGAGGTCGGCGAGGTTGCGGCGAACCCGGAGAAGGCGACGCCGAAGCGGGAGAAGGTCCGGGGCGACTACGGCGGCGGACCGGAGCTCGGCGGTGACGGCGGAGAGAGAGAGCGACGGCGCGAGCTCGATTCCGGCGGAGAGAGAGAGCGGCGAGTGGCGGAAACGGTGGAGGGAGGCACGGGGAGTGTTTATATAGGGTTGGGAGGGGGAGAGAGCGGCCGGATGAGGGGGAATCGGCCGCGGAAGATCCGGCCGCCATTGATGCGCCGGCGAGGTTTAGGGGGAAACGTTTCCGAACGAATCCGAGGGAGAGAGAGAGAGAAAAGTGGGGGGAAAGAGGGAGGGAATCACGGGGAGTGTTTCCCCCCTCTTGATTGCGCGCGGGGCGGACGGGAGCGGCGGGATTCGCGGCGGCGGCGGCGCTAGGGCACGGGCGAGGCGGCGGGAGCGGCGGGAGGAAGGGGATGACGGGTGGGCCCCACCCGTCAGCGAGGGTGGCGGGCGGGCCCGCCCGTCAGCGGCACGCGCGCGAGGAGGAGGCCGAATGGGCCGCGGGGGAGAGGAGAGAGAGGAAGGGAGGTGGGCCGAGCCGGCCCAAGAGGGGGAGAGGGGGGGGAAAAAGACTTTTAGGGTTTTTCTTTTTACAAAACCATTTTAACTTTGTTTTTTTCTTCTTAATTAATATTTGTGCTCTGAAAATTCCACTAAAATTTATTTACGCATTTTAGGCTTTTATGAAATATACAAAAATCCTCCAAGCCTTATTTGACTTTTAACTTAGCACATTTTAATTGTTGGAGGCTTTCACATGGATTTTACTTATTCTATGCATAATTTCGAGGATGTATTTTAGAGTCGTTTTGGGACGCGACAGATGCTCGGTCTGTCCATCTGTCTGCGGGTGATACGCGGTGCTGAAATTTAATCGGGTACCCAACTCTTCTTGGAGCTTCTTCCAGAAGTGAGACGTGAATTGGCTTCCCCTATCAGATATAATTTTCTTAGGAACGCCATGGAGACTCACGATCCTAGCGAAGTAGAGTTCGGCTAGTTTGTTCCCTCCATAGGTGGTCTTCACAGGAATAAACCGAGCTACCTTGGTTAGTCGATCCACGACTACCCATATAGAATCATACCCGCCCTGGATTTTTGGAAGTCCGGTGATGAAATCGATCCCAATTTCATCCCATTTCCATTCTGGTACTTGTAGAGGTTGGAGAAGTCCGACCGGTCGTTGGTGCTCTTCCTTGACACGCTGGCACACATCACAAAGGGCCACGAACTCTGCAATTTCCCACTTCATACTAACCCACCAGTATTTCTCTTTCAAGTCCAAGTACATCTTCGTGCTGCCAGGATGGATGGAATAGGGACTTTCGTGAGCTTCCTGAAGTATCAACTGTTTAAGTTCCCTGTCGTCTGGAACGCATACCCGATTTTCGTTCCGTAGGGTTCCGTGTTCATCCTCTGTGAAACAAGCGGCTTTACCCTGTTTCATATTCTTGAGGATCCCATGCATATCTGGATCATTCTTCTGAGCCTCGCGGATTTGATCGAGCAAGGTAGGCTTGGCTTCTAGAGTAGCCAAGAATCCATGGCTAACGATGCTTAGGTTCAGGGCTTCCATCTGTTGATTAAGTTCCGGTGGAATGCCACGGACGCCAAGAGTGTTGCAACAGCTTTTTCGACTCAGCACGTCTGCGACCACGTTGGCCTTACCAGGGTGATAGTGGATTCCCACATCATAATCCTTGATGAGCTCTAACCATCTTCTCTGCCGAAGATTCAGATCCGACTGAGTGAAGATGTATTTCAAACTCTTATGATCAGTATATATTTCACAGCGATTCTCAATGAGATAGTGCCGCCAGATCTTTAGAGCATGAACCACAGCGGCTAACTCCAAATCATGGGTAGGGTAGTTGCCTTCATGAGGCCGAAGCTGGCGGGAGGCATAGGCTACCACGTGGCCTTCCTGCGTGAGCACGCACCCCAATCCTTGGCGCGAAGCGTCACAGTACACTAGGAAGTCCTTGCGAGTATCCGGTAAGATTAACACTGGCGAGGAAACCAGCTTTTCTTTGAGAGTTTGGAATGTCTTCTCGCATTGCGGTGTCCACACAAATTTTTCCTCCTTCTTCAGCAACTGTGTCATGGGTTGAGCGATTTTGGAGAAGTTCTCGATGAATCTTCGGTAGTATCCTGCCAAACCCAAAAATCTGCGGACTTGAGTGACTGTCTTGGGTTGCTTCCAGTCAGTGACGGCGGTCACTATTTCAGGGTCCACAGCAACTCCTTTAGCGGATATCACGTGCCCTAAGAATTTGACTTCGGACAACCAGAACTCACACTTGCTAAGCTTGGCATACAATTGATGTTCCCGCAACTTTCCCAACACCAGACGGAGATGCTGCTGATGGTCTTTCTCTGATTGTGAGTATACCAGGATGTCGTCAATGAAAACCACAACAAACTTATCCAAGTATTCCATGAACACTTGGCTGATCCCCTCCTCCTGAGATAGATTTCAGTGGTTGGTTCTGGCTCTCCCAGAGCTCCAATTGAACAAGGAGGCATTTGCTTGCACACACATGCACCCAGTTGCATCAGACTCGCATGACCAGGAGGCAGAGGAAGCCAGAACAAGGCTCATGCTCATCATGCACGCAGAAGCCATTTCTCTCATGCTTTCAGCTGCCAAGCTTCACCCAGCACGGCTTGCGGTTCGCTCCTCCCGTGCGTGCACAGCTCAAGTGAAACCGCCTCATCACTTCCATGTGATCATCCTCCTCCTCAGCTCCCAGAATCCTAGGGGCATAAATAATCTAGCCGTGGCATCTCCATTCGATCACCCTCATCGATCGATCCGCCCGATTTGGTCTGGCCAGCTTTCGTCTTCTGATAGATGGTTGCTTTTATACACCTGAAACTAAGGCAATTAAAGCTTAAGTGTAAGTACAATGCCCCTCTTTGTTTTCCTACATTTTAGCATCTGTTTATGACCATGATGATGATGCATTGCTGCTTTTAAGGTTAAGGTGCACATCGAAAAGATTTGCTACTTGCTTGTAGACAAGAATCGCATAAAATGTAACAATGGTTTCAGAAAGGAAATGCTCATACTAACGAAAGTTTCATGACACAATATTTCAGATCTTTCAAGGAGGAATAAGAATCAACCTGTCAAGTAAAAAGTTTTAATATTTGTATGATCAGAAAGGGCATACACCAACCTAAATTTGCTGTGTAAGAAAGTAGCTAGCTGTGCCAAATCATTGTCACCTCAGTCAGATCTGCCACAAGCACGTACACATATATGTGAAACCGACTAGCTTTCTTGCAGCTGGAAAAACTCCAACGTACAACAGTAAATGATATAATCTCAATATCTAGATATAAAATATCCTTTTTGGAAACTTCTACAACGATAATATATATCGGTTTGTCCTAAAAACTCTTTTTTTGTTCCAACAGGTAAGACTTACAAGTAGCAGAATAGTTTCTACAATATGTGGAAGCTCAAGATTGCCGAGGGAGGACCATGGCTAAAGAGTGGAAACAGTCATGTTGGAAGAGAAACATGGGAATTTGACCCAAATTTTGGAACAAGTGAAGAGCGGGAGGCGGTTGAGGCTGCACGGATAGAGTTCCAGAAGAATAGGTTCAGAACAAGACACACCTCCGATGTTTTGGCTCGCATGCAGGTATAATGAAAACTTAAGTTCAACTATTGCAAAGAGCTTGATTCGTACCTCAAATCAGACCGCAGCAGCATCTGTATAGCTCTATAAGAAACTCACGCCAGTCCTTGTAACACCTGACATTAGCCACAAGCATATGCATTTATAGATGTGTAAACAAGCATGAAACTAATCCTGAAAAACAAAACTAAACAGCAAAGGGAACAGCACAATATGATGTTTAGTATCCATCTGGAATTTTCATTTTTGCAGTTAGCTAAGGCGAACAACTTCAGTATTGATCTACAGAAAGAAAAAGATGGAAACCCCATAAATATTGACACAGCTACAGTATCAGATATACTGAAGAAGGCACTCAGTTATTTCTCAGCCATACAGGCATATGATGGGCACTGGCCAGGGGATTTCCCAGGCCCACTGTTTACCACTGCAACCATGGTAAGATAGTAACATACACAATCAACTTCATGTCTCCTGGGATTACCATCATATCATACATCAAGTTTCCAGCATCAATTCAATTTGACAGGGATCCTTATGTTTGTTTGTTCCAACTGCAGATCATAGTTCTATATGTCACAGAGTCATTAACTATTACACTGTCATCGGAACATCACAAGGAGATCTGTCGATATCTGTACAATCGTCAGGTAACACTCAATAGTTAACAGGAAGTTAATGGCTACTTTTTAAGTAAATACACCTAAAAGATTAATTATATTTCATATAAGATGTGAACAAGACTTAACTCAAAGTTTGTGAACCAGAACATCGATGGAGGATGGGGACTACATGCAGAAGGTGAAAGTTCCATGCTTAGCACAGCTCTCAATTATACTGCTCTGAGACTACTTGGGGAGAATGTTGATGATGGACCAGATATATCCATGCATAAAGCAAGAAAATGGATACATGACCATGGAGGTGCAACAATGATACCGATCTTGGGAAAAGTGTGGCTCTCGGTAACAATACTTTCAGCTGTATCCTAGTTCTATACTCAAATACGTTTTCAGCTAGTAATTTTACTAAGGTGGCTTGGGATCTCAAGTTTCCACAAGTTAGTTTAATTTATCAAATATAATAATTACCTCACCTGAATTAAAGATCTTTCCACCTACAGAAATCAAATGGTTAATACTAGTCAATGAGAACATCAAAATGATTTGGAAAAGCAAGGTTATCAAAAGTATCAAGTATTGTTTTAGTAGTATGTTAGTTATGCAAATTTCATTTGATTATGGGAGTGGATCTTCCACTATCTACATTCCCCTATTGTAAACTGTATATTTAATATTACAGGTGCTTGGAGTTTTTGACTGGTCAGGTGTAAATCCTATTCCCCCAGAATTATTTCTTCTTCCATCTTTCGTTCCTATCCAACCAGGTAAAATTTTCTTCCTTGCTATATGTTCAATTATATTAGCACAGATCTTATCACCAGACTTTGAAATGAAACATGCTAGTTAGAACATATAGATTATGCTTTAGTTCCTGAGGTCAAGTCGTCTTCTGCAATTACTGAGCAAGAAGTCCACAATAAAGCCCCTATTTAGAGAGATATGTTGACAGGAAAATTACAGGTGATCACCATCATCAATGATGAAGTGAACTTCATTAGCATAAAAAGCATTATCAATTCACTCATTAAATGTTGATAATTTTGTATTATTCGATTACTTTATCTTACAGTTGTTCCATCTGTAGAAATAGAGTAGCTATGTAAAATAGAACAAATCAAATATCATTATGGGTGCAATTTTGTTTTTGTATGCAGGACGATTATGGAGTCACTTCCGAATGGCTTTTATTCCCATGTCTTATTTGTATGGAAAAAAGTTTGTCGGTCCTATAACAAGATTGGTTATATCATTAAGGGAAGAGCTACATATTCATCCCTATAAAAAGATTGACTGGAAGGAGGCACGCAAATTATGTGCAAAGGTCAGTTCACTAAACTTAACACATTTCTGCCTCGCACGAGAAATTTAGCGAGGTACTCAGCAACAGGTGCTCGCTAGGCCACCTCAGGAATATTTAGATATAATGCCAACTAATATTATGGTCTATGTATAGACATCTAGATATGTCAGGAATTACTAACATCATATTATCAGCTACTATGAAATAGAGCTAAGATGTGCTCCAATGCTTGCAATATTCGCATGCTTGTTGTAGTTAAATATCAGATTGTTTATCAGAAGATTCAAAGTCCGTATAGCTTGAATCAACTGCAGTAATTTTCTTTCATTGTGAATTCAAATGTAGGAAGATGCCTATAATCCACATATGTGGCTACAAGAGTGCCTATCTGACTGCCTTTATAGTTTTGGTGAGCCGTTTCTTACACGTTGGCCAATTTCCTACATGAGAAAAAGAGCTCTATACCAAATTGCTGAGTTCTTGAAGTATGAAGATGAAAATTCTCAGTATATCTGCATTGGTGCTGCACAGAAGGTAGGAGTTCTTCCTTGTCAAAATGAGACTCATACTTACCCTAGAAATCTCAGAAGAAAAAAAAGCAGTAATAGCTTCTTATTCTCAGTTTCCTTTTAACAGATTGAGAAGCTGAATTACCAACTAGTATTTTTGTCCAAAAGTTTCTCATGAGCCTGCAAATCCTGCATCAACTGCATTCATTTGCTTTACAAGCATCCCCATGAAACAAGAAGTACATAGTACAGAGAACTTGGTTGAAAGTTAAAACTGCATATCTTTAAAAAAAAGGTCGAGACTGAATATGCATGTGCAGAGCGCAGACAAATGCAAAACAAAATAAGACTTTGATATTTAAAATTAATCAATTTTCATGGAGATGCAAAATCTTACACAGATTGTTAAATCGAATACACATTTAGCATATATATAAGGTTTAGCTAAATGTTTATTCTCAGAAAGTGCTTAAAGGTAAATTTCAGGCTTCCTTATACATGCATAGTGAAAGACACTATGTTCAGCAGACTTGTTTTTACAGAATGAGTGCACTTCTGAAAATGCGTGGTAAAATTCTAGCATCATTTACTTCTGAAAATACATGGTAAAACTCTAGCACCAATTTTACCATGTATTTTCATTAATTGAACACTGCACAGTGCACTCATTCCATAATAATGAGCCTGCTGAACATAATTTCTTTTTCTATGCATTTCTTTTGACCTGAATTTTAAGCTCTAGCATGTGAGTGAACATTATTTTGAACAGGCATTATCCATGTTGTGCTGTTGGATTGAAAATCCCAATTCAGATGCATTCAAGCGTCATTTGGCTAGAGTAGCTGATTTTCTATGGGTTGGCGAAGATGGCATGAAAGTTCGGGTAAATATAAGATCAGTTCATTTTATACATCTACATCGGATTGCAATAATTTGTGCGCCAAAATTGGTAAACACAAACCATTGTCCATTCAAAGGTCTGTGCGGGTCAATTATGGGATGTTGCTTTCGCAGTCCAAGCGATATTAGCGTGTAGCATCGCAGAAGAATTTGGAAGTACCCTTAAGAAAGCACATGGTTTCATAAAAACTTCCCAGGTATTTTTGGCCAGAATTGAAATTATATTAGTATCTTTCTCACAACTTACTGCTTAACACTACTAACTTAAATTTTAAGATTATGGACAATCCTTCTGGTGACTTCAGCAGAAAGTACCGTCACATATCTAAAGGAGGATGGGCCTTCCAGGTTGCAGATCAGGGGTGGCAGGTTTCAGATTGCACAGCAGAAGCTCTTAAGGTGCAGATCAAAATTTAAATATTAAGTGAAGAACAAATTAGCGCTACCTGATGCAGACATGGGTCAAGCAGGGTTGATTTTCCATTTCTATTCATCTGTCTAGGTTTAATTGATTCTGATTGATTATTCTCGAAAGTAAAATGAAAACTGAAAACAAGAAAAAGGCATGGGTTGATTTTTCCATTTCTATTCATCTGTCTGGGTTTAATTGATTCTGATCGATTATGCTCGAAAGTAAAACGAAAACTGAAAACAAGAAAAAGGCATGGGTTGATTTTCCAAGTCTATATTCATCTGTCTAGGTTTAATTGATTCTGACTGATAGCTCGAAAGTAAAACCAAAACTGAAAACAAGAAAATGGAGCATGGCACATATGCACCTAAATTCCCCCCAAATCTGGTGTTAATGTCTTTAAGTTTACGATACCATCTGATATCATTATACCATACATGGAAGATGGAGCACACAAATCTACAACAAAGTAATACAGTTTATTGTTTCAGGCTTTGCTACTGCTGTCAAAGTGTTTGTCAGATGGTGCAGATTATCAAATGGAAACCTACTGCTACTTTGACGCGGTGAATGTATTACTCTCGTTACAGGTGATTATTCTGCAGCGCAGACAGTACCACATACTATAGCATATGATTTGGACAGAGTTCACCTTAAAAAAAAATCTACTGCCCAAATAATTCTCTAGTTCCCTAGAACATTAATCATTTATTTTGCTATCCTATCTGTTACTCCCTCTGTCCCAAAAAAAAAGTAGCTATTTTTGGTTATGAAGCCAGAAATAGCTACATTTTTAGGCACAGGGAGTAGCTAGGAAAGTAAGGGCCCTATTCTTGAGGTCAAGTACTATTCATGTCATCACGTGAACGGTGAACAGCACCCATGGGTACTGTAGAAGTCCAAGTTATCATATAAAAGGGACCATGAAACTCCATTGTAATTAAAGCAATGAATAGACAAGAGAAAGGATAGATGTAGAGTAATAAAGATTTGACTGAATTCTATGCAGAACCCAAATGGTGGGTATGGAGCATGGGAGCTAGCTCGCACATATCCATGGATGGAGGTAAATCTGCTCAGCACCTCAACCTAATAACTGTATCAATGCACTAAATAGTGTAACTGTAATGGCCTACGTATGCTACTATCCTCTTTCTTTATTATCCTATTATTTGATTTAGGAATTATATGATTAACGCCACTGCATTCTGTTATTGTTACACATATCTAGAATATACTGTCAGCTCAGAGTTCCAAACATAGAAAAGAAGTGAGAAAATATTAATGTGTTATTCACAGTCACAAGGCATACTTCAGAGCATTAGGACTATCAAAGGTGAAGGAGAGTATGCTATGACTTGCAGAATTCACATTTAGGATACATAAATAAGAGAATATAATGGAAGCAAACTAGCTGAATAAGTTAAATACTTAGATGGCACATAATATCAAGGATTTAAGGAAATTAACGTTAGAGGAGCATGGCAGTAACAAATTATATACATCTGAAGCACTAAATAATGAGAATTTGAATTACGTTTTGCAGATTTTCAACATGACAGAGATATATGCAGACATCATTGTGGAGCATCAGTGAGAATTTTACAATCTTTCTTTCTCAAATTCTCCTATTGCAGAATGCTATAACATGCACACATACTGCAGGTACGTAGAGTGTACCTCATCAGTCATCCAAGCATTGGCATTGTTCCGGGAGAAGTACCCTGGGCATCGGAAAGATGAAATAGATCAATGCATCAGGAAAGCAACAGAATTCATCGAGAAGTTACAGAATGATGATGGATCATGGTCAGCACTCCTTAAAAAAAATACTATAGAAAATTGAAGTACTAATTAAATCTATCAATTAACATAATCCTAGTTACATAGGAGAATGATGGCATTGCTGGCACACTGCCTCTGTTTAGAGTGCTCTTGCCAAAATCTAAGAGACAGTATGCCTAATCCGGTGAAACTAAATGATTCACCAAATCGCCAAACAGAATGGGCTAGATCATCACGTTCTGAGTTGCAACACATATTTCGGATTGACAATGTACTTATGTACAGATAAGAAAACAATGAAAATTGAGATAATATACAGTAGCAAAGCATATTAAGAGAATCAGTTGCCGATAGCATTACTAGTAAAGACTTTTGTATAACAGAAAAAAATAGACTGGATCGAGGTTAAATAAATTCAATGGTACATATTAGATTTTAAAACACTGCTACAAGTAAATGTAATACTGATAGCTGGTTGAGAGATTGGTAATTTGGATTAATATTTTTTTTTCTACAGGTTTGGATCATGGGGTATTTGCTTCACGTATGGAACATGGTTTGCAATAGAGGGTCTGTCAGCCGTGGGGCAGTGTTATGATGACAGCACCTGCATTCGGAAAGCCTGTAAGTTTCTGTTATCAAAGCAACTAACAAATGGTGGATGGGGGGAGAGTCATCTTTCATCCAGAACCAAGGTAACACTCCCGGAATGCTTTATTGTGTCAATCAACTTTAATTTTTGACAGCTTAGATTAAGCATCGGGTTTAGGAAAACTTCTATCTTTCTTTGTCTTGAAATAAATTGAAGACAAACAGATAGCATTTTCTAAGAACTGGTAATCAGGTAATAACACTAGGAGCTAAAATCATCCTTAGATTAATTAGCCGACAGGGTCACTCTAGAAAAAAGGACAAACAAGTAAATGACATGCATTAATTGAAACAAAAACTGAAAAATCAGAAGAGCATGCAATGTCACTGAAAGAAAATGTAATAGCTGATATTTGACTAATTAGAGGCCATCTGCATCTTTTTTTTCCTTTCATAATAATTACAAAACTCCATTATTTACAATATGATTGTTTGAAGTTGGCTTGCATTGCTGTATTTGATTCTTGAGGCTGATTGTGTGCTATTTCAAATCATAAACAGGCATACACAAACCTAGATGGGGAGAAATCACATATAGTCAATACTGCATGGGCAATGTTGGCACTCATGAAAGCTGGACAGGTATTACTTCTCTCAGTAAGAATTTGAAATGGTCAAATTGCAAAGAACGGCAATAGTAATGTGCAGTCAATGTATGTTTAGCCCAGAATAATTCAACCAATTGTGTAGCTTAAAGACTCATATTATATTGGAGTATAATTCAATGCATTTAAGTATTTAACCAACTTTTCTTCTGAGTTCAGGTAGAGAGAGACCCCGCTCCTCTGCACAAAGCAGCAAGACTTATCATGAGCATGCAGCTCAGTGATGGTGACTTTCCACAAGAGGTGACTGCTACATGACATTTGTATTATACAATTTGATGTTAACTCTTGACTTTCCATCGTATAAGAAATTTAAGCATAATGGAACAATTATTAAAGAGATCTGAGTGAAATTTAAAAAAATAATGTTTAAGTTTCCTGCAGAACACCCTAACCAACCTTTCTATTACAGGTTTTGGGCAATAGATGACTCTTGTTATGAGTTGCTTACTAATAATTTACCACTTTTTAGAAATTGTATGGGAAGTTATTTGAAACTAAACAATGAAATCTGTACTGCATTCCCATTATTACCCTTCATATTCTCTAGGAATTGTCCAAATGCTAGCGGGTCATGTAAATAGCCTAAACCCTTAGCACTCAGTGCTGTTCACACTCATTTACTAATAGTTTATTTGTTTTGCTGTAGGAAATGATCGGAAGTTTCTTGAAAAATGGCCCCTTGTGTTATATGGCTTATCGCAATATATTCCCAATATGGGCTCTTGGAGAGTATCAGAAATTAGTATTTCAGAACTATCAGACCTCTAGCATCAAGCAAACAAATATAGCTCCATCTGCTGGCAATGCTGCTCTGAAGAATTCAGCAAGTACAACAGCGCCAACTTGATTTCTTGGCAGAATCAAGCAAACAGTCCAGTGTATTGTAGGTCATGTGAAAGAGTACAAAACTCTAAATCTAGAATCTGCTGTATTGTTTTGGTCGATTTTATGAGATCCTTATGAATTTTTTGTACATTCTTTAGATCTGTGCAAGAACATGTACATCACATTTCACATTTAGGTACTTTGAAAAAGGATAACAAACTTTGCCCCAACTTCCTGGTCCATAAACCTAATTCATAAACTGTTATAGTGATGATACTGTTAACATAAACTTTGGTACTAAATGTATGCTAACACACCTCTTTTTGCTCCAACAGCAGAAAGGCAGCACAGAATTTAACAGAAACCCACAAACTATTCTAGTAATACCAAAAATATGTGTTCAATACAATGCATGAAAGTGAATTCTGAAGGTGAAAAAACACATATAATGTGTTGGGCGTGGCCTGTGGGGTTAGAGGAAAGCAAAGAGTGGTGCACTCCATAATACATCTCGCGTTGCTATGGTGTAGAGGGATCAGGGCCAGACCGTGGCCTCTGACATGGAAAGTGGAGTTGGAGGCCACAACCATAACAGAAACCAGACTTCTCCGGTGCATTTAAAGTTTTAAACAGAAACAATTTAGGGAAAATTAAACTCAGATGCAATTATAACAGAAACTCATCATAGATGGCAAAATAAATCTCTAGCAGGAATATAGCTTGACAGTCACAGATAGACTTTTCCTTCGGTGACTAATCACACATTTCTGAGAAATGAATGAAACTTCATTACAAGGCAACAAATACAGGTTTAAGATAAATCAAGAAATGGACAGGTAAGTAAAACATTTCCCATCTATAATGAAATACGTAACTAAGTAATTCAACTTACTGAAGAACATTCTGGATGTGATGGAGTAATTTTCCGATATGTTTTCTTGTCAATTGTTATTTGGGGAACATGGGAAATGAGATGGAAGTCTTCCCCTGATTTAACAGCACATCTTCTGCTCAACTCAGGACAGCCATTGATCACAATTTTCTTGAGAGAAGTGAAACTTTGAATGAAATCTGGCAGTTTCATTAATCCATTGCAATTTCCAATACCAAAATATTGAAGAGAGGTAGCAGCAGAAATAAAGCTCCCTGGAAAACAGACTAGCTTCGGAAGCCCAACAAGCTGGAGCACATCAAGGCAAGCCAGGCCACCCATGGCTTCTGAAGGTTCCAACAAATCCAGCTCATGGCAATTATTAATCGATAATGTTTGAAGTGTGGAGAGTTGATTCATGGTCGAGGGTAGAGTAGCCAACTTTGGACAGTTGAAGATGTAGAGCTTTCGGAGGGAAGTTAGACTACCAAATCCATTTGTCAATGATGATAACTCAGCACATGAATTTAAGAACAGAAATGTCAGTGAAGTCAAACTACAAAATCCATCATGTTCTGATAAATACTTATTCTTCAGTGTGAGGCACAAGAATCTAAGGCTTATAAGTCTATGCACGTCCTTTGGCATCTTCTCTAATTGGTCGCACCGACTAAGTTGCAGTGTTTGCAAGTTCACCAACTTACATAGGGAATTCGGTAAGAACTTAATTTTCCCATTCCATTGTAGATCCAGGTACCTTAAGTGCTTAAGATTTCCAATTGAACTCGGTAGCTCATCAAAATCAACGTCAGAAAAAATAAGAACACGCAGGAGTGTAAAGGTTGACAAGAAGTTGTCAAGAAAAGCTTTAGTCATGGTCCCATTGTTATCAATGCTTGCAAATGTCCTTGCCTTGTTTGCCTTTCTCAGGTGCTTAGGAAATTCAATCTCTGTTGAGAAGTCCTTGCGATCCCACACAAGGTGCCTAACCTTTTCAGATAAATCTTTACTTTCACAATTAACAATAGCATGCTCCTTATGGCACACAAACATCGCAAGATTATGAACAAGATCATGCATTTTACAACTTTGAATTGAGCCATTATAAATAACATAATGGTCTTGGAAAAGAGATCTTTGATCCAGTTCATTAAAGTATTGTCCTCCAATAGTTTCTATTTCATCTCCTTCTCTGGTTTTATGCAATAACCCTAGTGCCATCCAGAACATAATTAAAAGCTCTCTCAAAATCACGTAGTCTTTTGGAAAAACAGATAGGCAAGAGAAGCATGCCTTAAGATGAGGTGGAAGTGCATCATAACTCAATTTTAAGGCTGGCAATATATCGCATTTATTTTGCTCAATATTCCACAGATTTGCATCCTTAATACGCAACCACTCCTTAACATCCTGTTTACCAAACAGTACAGACCCCAATGTCTTAGCTGCCAAGGGAACACCGTGGCATTTCTCCACAATACATTTGCCAATTTCTAACAAGAGTGTGTCCTTTTTTTCCTCATCTCTGAATGCATAGCGAATAAATACCTGCATACATTCATCAAATGAAAGCTCTGGCACATAGTATGGCTCCAACGTCTTCACCACCGACGCAACATTCATATTACGTGTGGTAACTACAACAACACTTCCTCTTCCACCACTAGATAGGAGGTTTTTAAGTTGTTCCCAGTCATTAACATTATCACTCCATATGTCATCGAGAACTAGTAAATATTTGTTTTCCTGTAAAAACCCACGAAGCTTGTTTTGTAGCGTTTGCAGGCTCAGTTGTTTGTTGCTTTCACCTGTATCTGACTGGATTATGTCATCCAGTATCTTCTTTAGATCAAATACATTAGATACGCAAGCCCATAAGTTCTTCTCAAACATTTTCTTTATCCTCATATCATTGTACACTAGTTTGGCCAGTGCAGTTTTCCCTATGCCTCCTAAACCAACAATAGGAAGCACAGAAAAAGCATATGCATCCGCAGCACTCAGTATGATTTCAACAATCTTGTTTTTCGCTTCGTCTCTACCAACAATGTCTAACTCATTGATGAAGGAATGTGTTTCCCTGGTATTGCTACTGAAAAATTGCGTATCTATGATCTCCTCTGTTAATGCAAACTCCCTTCTGTTAGCTGCTATCTCATCAAGCTTTTGACGAACTACTGTTATCTTATGGCTCAATTCGAATGGGTAAACAAGCTGCCGACTGACCCCAGCATAGAAACCATTATGAACCTTTTGCTCCAAATCTTTGGTGGCCACATCATCCAGAACATCATCAATGTCGTAGACGACATCCTTTAAATCTTCCAGCCACACTTTAAGAGCACAAGAAGTAGACTGCTTGCGCTCTGCATCTTTAAGAACACCACAGATGGACTTCAGAGATCTTTCCAACTTCCTCACTTCTTTCTTGAAATTCCACGCTGATTTAATCTCGCTGGCAGCACAAAAGGCCGCTTTTCCAAGAACGGAGATTGCAAAACTCGATAGATGCACCTCAGCCATATTTTGCTTGGCAACTGCACGATAGCAAGAGCATCAAAACAAACATCCATGAGAGGAAATCTGATGTCATAATACTATTACTTTTTTTTAATTAAAAAGAAAAGAACCCCACATTACAATACATTAATCAGTAAAACCTAGCATGATTTAAGATTTAAGATCCTGGTAAAATCAGACTCACGGAACTAATCACATAAATGGATGCCAGATGAAGACGGCTGCAAGCCCTACATTGCAATCAATCCAATCCACCTGTGGGGATTGGAGTGGATCTAAGCTCAAAATTAACCTTAACAAACAAGCAAAGTCCAGGACACGCACCAAAACCCACCGCTTCCTTTGCCCCCCTCCCGTTCAAGACGGACGCGTCAGATCACCGAGCACCGCCGCGTGGCAGGAAGACGACGAGAGGGGCGGCCTGCAGTGACGCCCTCGGGTTTTTGGCTCCGCACAGCTTCTTCGGCCTCACGCGGTGGGTGGGGGGTGCGGTGGGCGGTGAGCGGCGGCGACGTCAGCTAGGTCAAACCGCAGCGGCCAGCGGCGGTTTTTTTTCCTTTCCCCTTTGGCTTCGCTGGCGTAGAGCACCGGCGTCCGGCTGGTCGCCGGCGAGGTTGCCAATGCCGGTATTCGTCTTCTCCGAGTGTGGGTGGTAGCAAAATGGGCAAGATTAACTTTGTTTTTCACTTTAAATATCTTGGTTGAGCTACAGTTGAAAGCTTGAATTATTTTAAGAAAATAAATAGAACAACCAAAAATAATTTATAGATGCTGTAATTTAAAAATCCAAAATTAACCTAATACATTTTTGTTTTTGCAAGACTTAGTTTAAATTTAATATTTAGACTTTGGTTGTGGCTAACAAGCCAACTTATATAGTAATCGGAGATAAACCTATTGTACGAGAGGGATATGAGTGATGGTCTGAGAGTATGAGCCAAGTAGATTTTTTTTTCTCCCATCGGATAGCCTATTAAGCCAAAGAAAAAGCCAAATTTTGAATTTTCAAAATTAAGATTGATTTTAAGATATTTTTTTAACGTAGTTTCTTTTTCAGCATTGGCTTTTATATCACCGAGAACACATATATAAAAGTTTTACCTACAAATTCATTTTTATTTTCTAATAAATTGTTTTGGCTTATTAGAAAAAAGCCAAACAATGGGGCCCTTTGTGAATGGAAGAAAGAAGAGAGATCGTTTGACTTAAATTTGGAGTTGATTCTTGCTTTAAAATTTATTTAGTTATTTTTTTAGGGTGAGTTTAGTTTATTTAGCACCTTACTAATTTGGGCAATAATTTTCTCTTGATAATGTATGACCTCGATTAGTAATGTATGAAACATCTTCGTATGTCCCCACAAATAGGGCAACAAAATTCATCTAAGTCTTTCAAGCTAAAATCTTAGTCATCTTAGACATTATTTTTTATTTACTAACAAGGTATAAGAAACAAATAAATACAAATGATGAAGGTATAAATACAAATGATGAAGGTGAAAACAACTGTAAAATATATATATATATATATATAATTTTATTATTGGAGTATGTATCAAATATGTTTTCCTTTCCAGTAACTCATTGCATCAATTGCTTATATGTATATAGCCACATTATTGTAAAATGTACAACAACTCTTAAATATATTATCGGATGTGAACTAGGTTTTATAAACTCAAAAATATAAACCATATAGACATAAAAGTCTTATATTTGTTGAATGTAAAAAAAATTCCTACATAACGTGTTAACATAAAAGTCGATGTAGCATTGTCATTAAACTTACATCAACTAGCACGTGAAACCAAACCCGTCGGTCTCTTCCTCCTCTTATTCCTCAGTCATCACTATTTGAAGTCGGCATTTCGATTCTCATCCTCAGTCTCTCCGGTCATCATCATCGGCCGCACAGCAAAACCACCGTATCATGACCTTGCAGGCGCCATGTCCAACCGGTCAGAAGAGAGAGGGGGTTCTCTTCCATCATAGCCGATATGGGAGACGATTTTGTTCAGATTCTTCAAGGCATCCTCGAACGCTTCGCGGATCTCGTGTTCGCTTCCTACTCTTCTCCGACGAGCTACCGATTGTGCTGGGCTTCTTTGCCGATCATGATCGACACTGCTGCTACAAAAATTCAAAAAGGTAAAATTCCATTTTCTAAAAAAAATAGTAGATGAACACCTATTCTTTTATGAGCATTAGCTACAACTTACACCTATCACAAAACAACTCGTTGCAAAAAGGGGAGAGACCAAAACTTGATTGCTCAATGCAAGAGGGAAGGATTGCAATGCTCCCATTTGTACGTAATCCTAATAAAAATAAGAAAACACAAGAAAGGAAATTTTCAAGTTCTCCTTTTCTTTTTCTTTGGAGCAATATAATTCTCTCTCTCTCTCTCTCTTTTTTTGGCACCGCTTTCTACCTCCTCTACTCCTCTTCTTTTTAGCGAAGCAAACCCTCACCTCTTCTCTACTCTCTCTCTCTCTCTCTCTCTCAAGCTCGGCGGAGGCGGAGGCAAGCAAAGCCTTCTCCCCTCGCCTCACCTCGCAATCCACCTTGGGCGGGCCGTCCGGCGAGCTGAGCGCGGCGGCGCCCTCCTTACTCCTCCCTCCCCACGTGCGGCCCCGTCGGAGCACGGCGGCGACGAAGAACCAGGGGGGTGGGGGGGCGAGGAGGAGGGCATCATTCCACCGGCTGATTCATTCTTCTTGGCTCGAGTCGAATTGGAGAGGTATATCGGCTCTTCTCTCGTACCGCCGCGCCACTGGAGATGGATGGATGGGCGCTTTGCATGGCTCGGATTAGGGATCCGTTCGGACATGGCTTCATTTCTTTCCCAAATTGACCCGTCCAGTTAATTCCGTCCCGGTTTCCTTCTTTTTTTTTTCTTTTTTTCTTTTTTTGATGTGTGGGTGGTGGGTGCAGCAGTGGTAGCTGTTTTTGTTTCCAAAAGGTGATTTTTTTTTTGGGTGGGGGGTGTTGTTCAGATGAACACCCAAATGCCCCGCGTTTGGGCGAGCGAGTTGTAGTGCTTGTTGGAACCAAATCTGTGATCTTTGCGGTTTATGCTGGTACTATGTTTGGTGTGATCTCAGAAAATCGAATTTTATTTGGGTTGCTTTTATGGTTGGTACCGATGATTTTGGCGAAGAATCGTGGTGTGATTGTAGGAATGGGAAGCTTTGATCCGTTCGGTTTGCTGTAGGAGCATGCATGCTTATGATCTCTCTTGGGGTTCCTCCTTTGCAGGTAATTGCTTGCCTTCTGAGGAACTGCGGGAGGGAGCGAGGAGTCGTGGAGCGACTCTTGAAGGATGGCGGAAGGTGCCAAATTCCATGGGATCGTTGGCGCTGTTGGCGCGCATGATGTTGGCGGGAACTTCTGTGACATGGGGTACTACCAGAAGCTAGGGGAGGGCTCCAACATGTCGATCGATAGCCTTAACAGCATGCAGACAAGCATATACGGTGGTTCGGTTGCAATGTCAGTGGACAACAGTAGTGTTGCATCTAGTGACTCTCGTACCGGGATGCTTAAGCATCCTGGCCTCAGGGGTCCAGTCATTGTGTCTAGCTATTCTGTCGGGAACAGCATTTTCCGTCCAGGGCGTGTGTCGCATGCCTTGAGTGATGATGCATTGGCACAGGCTTTGATGGACTCTAGGTTCCCCACTGAGACACTCAAGGATTACGAGGAGTGGACCATTGATTTGGGTAAGCTGCACATAGGGATGCCATTTGCACAAGGTGCCTTTGGGAAGCTCTATAGGGGAACCTACAATGGAGGCGATGTCGCAATTAAGCTTTTGGAGAGGCCAGAGGCTGACCCTGAGAAAGCTCAGTTGTTGGAGCAGCAATTTGTGCAAGAAGTCATGATGCTCGCAACGTTGAGGCACTCAAATATTGTCAAGTTTGTTGGTGCATGCAGGAAGCCAATGGTTTGGTGTATTGTGACTGAGTATGCGAAGGGCGGATCCGTTAGGAATTTTTTGAATAGAAGGCAGAATAGGTCTGTCCCACTGAAGCTTGCAGTGAAACAGGCATTGGATGTTGCACGTGGCATGGCATATGTTCATGGCCTTGGATTTATTCACAGAGATCTTAAGTCAGACAACCTATTGATTTCTGGAGACAAATCTATCAAGATTGCTGACTTTGGAGTGGCTAGGATTGAAGTGAAGACTGAGGGAATGACACCTGAAACAGGAACTTACCGCTGGATGGCTCCGTAAGTTGGCATACATGCTCTTTATCTTGCTTATTTTAATCAGTAATTATCTCAAATTCGTATTAAGACAATGCTGTTTTATTTTTCTTCACTCGGCATTACCCAAGGCCACAGTATTTCTCAAATGGTAAATGCAACACATTTGCAGTCCTTGTATGATAAAATGCAGTAACCTATTCATGTGAATTAGTAGCTAGGTATGCACATGTGTTCTAATTACATGCAATGGCACTGTGCCAGTCCTGTTATCCATAATTTATCCTTTTTTTTTTGCTAAGGCTGGTTATTATCTTGAATGATTCATGCATCGAATACTTGAGTTATGTGAAAATGCATGGTCATTTGCATGTAAAACTTTTCTACTGGTGCTGCCCATAACTGTAATATTTTACTTTTTTTGTTCTCTGTTTTTCTTATTCTCCTCTGAAATCTAGTTTGGCAGATCAAATTTTATAATATGTGAAACAAGCATATGCTGTGACAGGAGATGTCTTGTAAATTCTTGTGTGTAGCTTCATGGGTTGAAATATATGAATGCTATTTAGACATAGTCCAAGAGATCTCATTCTAAAATTTTCATTACATACCTATATACGCTTATAATTGGTTCGTGGGTGCTAATATTTAATAAATTATTGCTGTTTAAGGTATTGGATTGCATTAACCGTGCCCTATGAAAGCATTTATGCACTAAACCCTCATTCTTTGCTGATAGATGCACAAGGTGTTCATCTTAAGAGCATTGAAATTGCAGCTTGAATCTTCTAGTTTAGATGCTTGTTCAAGATATATTTGTTGCTAATTCTCGGCTACAAAGAAAAGATGGCAGCATCGGTTAACTCAGGCCTATCCTTGGCATTAGGCACACCAACTATTTATTAGGTGAAGATGGATCAATTATGAATAGGATTATTTGGATAGGGTTTCTGGATTTAACAGACAATCAATACTCATTCAATGTTGACTAACCGGGTAGTCTGGATATCAGTGCCACATAAGGATAATTTGGACAAAAACTATTAACCGTACAACCTAGTAACGCAAAAACCCTAGCCCTTAGAAATAATATGTCTCCTGGCTTCCGTAGCTAACCTAACCTTAGGTAAGGCATGCTACCAGCTAGAATGTTGAAGACCTGTTTTGCCGATAAAGGGTGATTTCATGGGTAATGAAAGCATCTGCACCCCCAAGAGAGCCTTGTGTAGGTAGGAAAGCTTTAGAGCAAGAGCAGCATGTCAACATGATACACTCCATGCGATTATCCACAATCATCAATTCCCGTCCATGGGATCTATGAGTAATCCTATCAAAGATCTTGCCCCTGCCAGCCAGATGACCTGCGTTGGTCAGCCATTGGTATGATTTGACTGGAAAAATTGAAATGTGCTCCATGATTGTACCATCACGATCTGTGCTGCTTGGATAATTAACTATTTTCAGTTTAAGGACCCCTTTGGTTTGTAGGAATAACATAGCCTAGGAAAGCTTTTGAAACAAAGGATTAAGTTCTATCATCTTCCTATAGAAATTGAACCATGTTGCTTGATTCCTGTGTTATTAGTTTCTGCGTTCCATAGGGGGGCTGAGTCCTCTGCTGACCCATCACAGCAAAGCCCTTGGCAGTTTCCACGTTCTCTAGGTCATGATGCTGTCCAGTAGCTTTGCCTTCTTTCTTGTTCCTAATAGAATTGTTTATGTTCTAAGACAAGATTAACTAAAAAGTTGTGTTTGAAGTGTTTGCGCAAAACAAACTTGTGCTTTACCCTTTTTAAGGGTAAGCAACTGCACAAATAGTTTCACCTCTCTTAACTATAGCTTAAATGCACAAGTGTGTTCCTAGCTAAGCTAAGGTGCAAAAGATCAAAATGTTCATGTATAATGTAATGTTGCTTAAACAGTAAGGTAATTGCATGCATGTAACTACCTGGCAAAATGTGTTATTTGAAGCAAAAAAGTTCCTATGATGAACTTTCTGCTGTGCATGATGCATGAATAGCGAGTGTTTTGTGTTACAATATTAGCAAATTAGCACAAAGTGGTGGGTTTTATTTAAAACTTTGCAGAGAGGAAAAGTATGCTATTTGGTTCTTGGTGCAAAATGCTGTTTATATCTGGCAGATTTACTAACTACAATTATAACTAGCACTTCAAAAAAGTCAAGCTTGAGCTTTTATTCACTAGTCTTGGCCTGTTATGGAGCATTTTCTCTCATAGAAATAGAGCATCAAGTTTATTCCTTTCTTATCCATTAGATTGGACCAGCATATTTTCTTATAAAGTATGAATTAGTGTTTGGGATTATAGTGCCTATCCTGGAACCTGGATAGGTGGATAAATTATTGGATCTCTATGATGTTCATGTTCAAATATAGTGCAGTATGCTAGAATTGGATCAATTATTGCTCATTGTGTTTTTTTTTCATTGGTTCTAGTCATGATAACTTTTTATTTTGACTTGCAGTGAGGTGATCCAGCACAGACCATATGACCAAAAAGTCGATGTCTACAGTTTTGGCATCGTCCTGTGGGAGCTAGTAACTGGGAACCTTCCTTTTGCAAACATGACAGCAGTGCAAGCTGCATTTGCGGTGGTGAACAAGGGTGTCCGCCCAGCCATACCCCATGACTGCCTCCCTGCCCTCGCAGAGATCATGACCAGGTGCTGGGATGCAAATCCTGATGCCCGTCCCCCGTTCACCGAGGTGGTCAGGATGCTGGAGCAAGTGGAGATGGAGGTCGTTAACACTGTCCGGAGGGCCCGCTTCCGGTGTTGCATCTCCCAGCCAATGACCCTAGACTGAGTCACAGCCAGGATCCAGGGTGGAAAAAGGCAACCTGGAGAAAAGTTAAGTCCTGTGTACCTATCATATTAATAGGCCTGTTCTGCAGAGAAGATGAAAGCCCAAGCTGAGTGTACTTGGCGTCGCGCGTTCTCTTCGTTTACCCTAGACAATACCTAGTATCTATCGTCAGACTGGAATGTATTAGCGGTAGCTTTTTATCTTTGACAACAAAAAAACACCATGCAGGGCTCTTGTTGCAACAACCGCATGTTCCTGCTGTATGTTATCTGTTGTAATCATCCTGCTTGGAACATGTGCAAGGCTGCAAGGCTTGATGCCTAATAGTATATATAGCATATGTATAATTACCTGGCATGTGTCATACCTGTTTTTATAGTTCTGGCATGTGTTTTTTAACCTGCTTCCATAGTTCTGAACTTCTTATTGATGCAGCTTTCATGGTTAATGTTATATACCATGTACTATTAACTAGCATGTGTTTTTCCCTGTTCCCATAGTTCTGAATGATACACCTACATGCTTAATGGTATATATAGCATGTACAGTTATCTGGCATGTGTGTTTCATAGTTTAGAATGATGCCAAGTAAATCTGTCATGGCATCACGCCAATTTCCTCCTTGTGGGTTCTTGAGCATATCATGGTATATCCTGTGATGTGTTCACTAGTTTGATTGCTATAATAACCGTACCAAATGCTTTCAGGTTTGTTCAGTGGATCAGCTGGGTTTTCAGTTCTGAATGCTTCCCAATTAGGTTCCCCTTGTATCACAAGTTGAATATTTCAGTCATGAAGTACCGCGTGACCAAAGGAGCTTTGCTACAGAATTGTGCTACATGAGAGCTTAAGAAGCTCCAAGTTCACAAGAAAAGAATGGCGCTCTGCAAATATACAAAGGATGGAACCAGAGAGACATGAGACTGGAAAGCTACCGGCAGCATAATTATGCAGCTTCTTATGGCTAAACACCACCACTCACATTGAACAGCATTCATGACGCAACACAAGTAAAAGCGAAAGGGAACACATTGAGACAGGAAAGAAGATTGACAGCAAGAATTTCGGAACTATGAAATTGGAATTATAACCTAAAGGGAGGTGAAACAAAGCCTATAATGTTGTACAACTGAAGCAGCAGCAACACCTGACATAACCAACCTGCTCTTTTAACCCTTCTCACCTCCATAAGAGCATCATATGATCCAACTGCTGCTCCAAATTAGTAAATGATATGGGGGAGAAAATCGACTGCTTTACTCCACAGGGCTAGCGTTCGTGCTCGCCGTTCCATCTTCAGCCTTGGTGGTTGCGGTGGACGCTTCATCAGCTGAAGAAACACCCTCAACTGCAGGCTTGCTTTCGCCATTCTCAGTTTCTTTTAGCTGGACAGTCTGACCAAATGTGTCTGAGATGTGGGCCATAAGTTCTCCTAGGGCCTTATTCTCTGCTGGTTTCTGCAGCTCTGGGCTGGCAGGCTGCTGCTGACGTCTATTCTCCTGCAAGGCTTTCTCCCGCTGCTCATAGAAGTCAAAGTCTTCAAGAATGTTCGTCTCCGATTCATGGTTCTTGAAGATAGTTAACATCTGCAGACCATGTTCCAGCTTCACCTGCATGTTTTGTCTCTCAAGTTAGCCATTTTCAGAAAAAGCTACATTCACTAGATGTTTCAGAAAAGCAGAGATCTCTACGGAAAGATTAGGATTAAATCAACAGAAGCTGGCAAAAAGACAGCTTTTTTACCTCCTGGGTGTCCCTGCTATTAGTTACAGGTTTGTTGTCATTGTTCTCAAGAATGATGTGCCGCAGCAGGTTGTTCGGGACATCCTTAATAATGTGCCACTTCACAGGGAACTGGCCACTCCACTTGTCCTGCTGCCAATAATCGACACTTTTGTCAAAATCGACGGGTCCAATCATCTCAGCTACACCACAGAACTGACCACTGCCATTAACCTGCAAAAAACGAGGTTATGGATCAATTTAAATAAAATCTTTAAAAAATCAGGACATAGATCAAAAGTAGTCTTATAGAAAATCAGCTTTTTGTTACTTGCTTTTTCCCGTAGTACAGAGAATAAAATAATAAAAAAAGAGGGGCTTGTCTTACCGAGAAAAATAGAAAAATAGGGCAATAGTCTTCTTTTTCTTTGGCCAAGCGATAAGCAGAATCCAGCTTTCTATTCCCACTAGCTGTACTGGCCCAAACATTGTACTTAATGCTCCTATGTACATGGTCCTCAGTGTAGGACTTTATTACAAAAAATTTTGCATCCTTGTATTCAGTGACAAAATCAGGGCGATTATACAGTTCACTATCAACCAGAGGAACATTTTTCTCATTTTTGTCATCTATTGAAGAGTTCTCTGTGTCTTGTTTCTTTGGTTTTGTAGCACGTGGCCCACGGTTTTGCTCATTCAGGAACTCAAGAGCACCATTCTGAATACCAAATGGCATGCTCCCTTTCTGTTGATTGGCGCTTAAGTCAAAAGTACCAAATCTGCGACCAGAACTCCAACTTGGAGTAGTGCCTCCAAACTTACCACCTTGTTGGCGTGGCTTATAGGATCCAGGGGCATACATTGACCCATGATGCTGCAAAAACATACACCGTCAGTGCTGGACAATGAAGAGCACAATAAACATTAGGACTGACAATTTTAGTTCAACCAGTATTTGCCAAAGCCCAATTGCAAGAAAGCATACCATTCCAAAAGCCAGCGGTGTGTTCCCTTGACCAAACAAACCAGGAGTGCTGCTTGGTTGGGTGGATGCTGCAAAAGAAATTCATGATATGTTAAGCATTGGCCTAATCAATTATTACAACAGAAATAACTTGCAATCATCAAAAGTTCGACTTGAAGAACAGCAAAGATTGAAAAGGAGAAATATTACCTCTGTCAAAAGACCCGAATGGTTGATGATAACCTGGTGTTGGCGAGTAGAGAAGGCCGTCAGGAAGGAAGTACTCCTGCTGCAGCATAGGATCTCCTTGAGACATTCCAGTGGCGGAATTAGAGTATCCCATGCTAGGAGAGGCTGGTGGCTGGTAGTAAGGACTTGAGAAGGGAAAGTGCAATGGGAGGTATGGCTGGCCATCTCCAACGCCAGGAGAATAAGCTCCATACATCATTTGAGGGTTGTTTGCATATCCAGGAGATAACATGATTGACTGGTTGTCGTTGTAAATTCCCTTCAGCAAAACAAGATTAAGAAAACTAAACTATGAAAAATGGAAAATAACTTCAGTAGTCATAGTACTTACAGGTGATACAGAATGGAGTCCTTCCATATTGACATAATGGGGGTATTCTTCCCATTGGCCCAAATGGTTCAGGTATCCTACAGGGGAAAAAAAAGCAAAGAATATTAAATAATAACACTTCCAAAGGAGTTACCTTGTTAAAGAACAAGATACGCAGATTGAATAATATGTTCGCCTCTCTCTCTCAAGATTTCAATAGAGGCAGTTAAACAATAGTGAGATCAAAATAGTAAGGACTGATGAACACTTAAAACTGATAGCAACAATCAATCATGTTAGTACAGAGAAAACCAAATTTAGAGTTAAATATCTGAAACTTTATCTTCTAATACCATGGTTGTGTACATTTGGGGATTAAATTGTCCAACAGAGTTCAATCGTCAATAATAACACATAAAAATGAATGTAACCTAACCTCCAGAATAGATTGTTTGTGGCTGAGGTGCGTACACATTGGGTTGGTAGAAAGGTTGTTCTCCACCTTTACCCAAAAAACTAGCCTTCTCCTGTGCACCCTTTGGTGATTTTGAGGAGCTAGCACCCTGGGGAACACTAGTAGTCATTTTCTCATTTGTACTAGAAAGAATCTGATGCAGAGAAAATCAACCATTAGTAAATAGCGCGACACCTATTGTAGGGAAAAAAAACTGATAAGACAATTACCTGCTCTTTAGCAGCACTCTTGGATGCGTTGTTCTCACCTACAATTTCTGATTGTGGTGGAATCATGCAATCTACATAACAAGCAGAGTTACAAAGATTGTAACATCCTCATAGCGGTTATCAAAACTTAAAAAATGAGCGAAGTAACTCCACAGATATATAAATATATATAGAAAGTAACTATATCCTACAAACCATAAATGCATATTATGGTTTTTACTCCACCAAAACTATCAACTCGTTCTACATGAGCAAGCATTTAATAAACGCTTTACAATTGCACATGTCCTTTCATCAACACTGCAAATCAGCCTTTTGCATACACAGCGCATAACCAACATGCTCAAATCAACACTGCAGCAGCAGCAGCAGCGACCTATTCAAATACCTCCTCCGATTACCCAGAGTCGAGAGGACGCTTTAGTCCTTTTTAACCGCACTAGAATTAGTGAATTACCACCTACCCGCTCGTACTCCTACCGGCGTAAATTTCCAAACTACGGAATTATTACTTAATTCTCCCAACTTTTCCCCCCTCGATAGCAAACTGTCCTGTACGCGTTAGCTCCCAGGGGCGGGGAGGGGAGGATCAAACATGTGACAATATTAGTACCAAATTTAACGCAAACTAAGAGAGAAAAAAAAACCTTCCCAGATCTAGAACAGAAGCTAGGGTTCACGCGAATTCGAGGGGAGAAAAACAGAAAGAGCGCGTGGGTAGAGAGAGAGATGAGGAAGAGGACGATGGAAGCTTACCGGCGGAAGCAGCCGGGCGGACGGCGGCGCCTCGCCGGATGGAGATCGGCGCAGGCGGCGGGCGAACTCGCGCGAGGAGACGGAGTTTGGGGGGGAGTCGACGCCGAGGGGAACGGGAAGACTTTGGTTTTTGACAATCTAGCCCCTTTTAGAAAACTTATTTTGTAAATAGACCCTCCTAAAAGCTCGTTTTCGTGGATAAGGCCTTTCAGCGGTCTATCTATACATTAAGCTTTTTCTAAAAGGGCCAGATTGTCAAAAATCCAGGAACAGCTATAGACCATGTGGGCCGCCCGGCACGGCACGGCCCAGGCCCGGCCGTGCCTGGGCCGAGGCTTGTCGGGCCGGCACGGCCCGACCGACGCACCGGGCCGTCCGTGCCAGCCCACGTGCCGCACTCACGGCCCAGGCACGGCCCAACACGCCTCGGGCCGTGCCGGGCCGGCCCGAAGGCACGATGGGCCGTCGTGCTTTTCCTCAGAATAAGTCTAAATTTACTCCCTCCTATTGGGCTGTGACATATGTACAGCTACAAAAAGTCTATTTTTTCTCCCTCTTCTTTGGGCTGGGGTATATAAATAGCTAAAATAAGTCTATTTAAGGTCCCTATTCTTTAGACAGTTACATTTATATGTCTATTTTTAGTCCCCCATACTTTATGTACCGGGCCTGGCCTGCCGGCCCATCGTGCCGGGCCGGCCCGACCGTGCCGGGCCAGCCCAGCGTGCCGGTGGGGAGGCCCAGGCACGGCCCGACGGTCGGGCCGGGCCAGCACGGGCCCGACCCAAGTCGGGCCGTGCCGTGCTTGGGCCGGGCCAAAAAGGCGTGCCGTGGGCCGGGCCTTCGGGCCTCGGGCCTTATGGCCAACTATAGGAACAGCGGAACGTGGACGGGAGATACTTGACCAGTTTGACCAGGCTAAACAATGATTTTGGATACAATTATGCTTATTACTCCGTTCGGTTTTTTAATTTTCTAACGTTTGAGGATGATCTTACTCCTACTTTTCTATTTTATCTATACTAGCAAAAGACCCGTGCGTTACAACGGGAAGTGTAAAGATCAGAAAATCAAGGAAAAGTTAAAAAAGACTTATATTATGTAATTAGTTGAAGTACAAATTTCCTTAAAAATTTGGATATTATTTAAGTTGGTAGGTGTATAATTAAATTAATTTACAAGTAAAATAAGTGTGAAAAAAGTTATATGGTTGGATTTAATTTTTCAAAATTCTTCATAATTAATTACACTCTTTGAAATTTTATTGAAATTTTCAAAACTTAATTGCTAATTTTGATAATATAAACATAATTTCAGCATTTATTCTTCAACCCGCGAATTGAAATTTCCCGTTCGTTCTCTTCTGGGTAACCGAAGGTGGAGTGTTATTTGATGCGGACTCTGGATGATTTGTTGTGTGTTGGACTTGGGATATTGCAGGACAAAAATTGGTTGAGGACGGACGGAAATTTCACTGGAAACCTACATTAGATTAGAGATAGAGAATATATAAACGATGAAATCGGATAGAAATTGGACCTTTTTTCCGGACTTTTTTCTGCCCTTTTTATATACAATCGGACTTTTTTCACTCTTTTTTTCATTTTAGACGAACAACGGAAACATTTTCAAATTTTTTAAGTAGTAGAGATAAAGATTAGCCATTTTCGTTTTCTTAGGGAGTGCTGTCACGAAAAACGTGTTTTTTAAAACAACTTTTGTATAGATATTTTTTGCGAAAAAATGCATCGTTTAGTAGTATTAGAAGGAAAGAACTCAACCTTAAGGGACCTAAACTGAACTTATTCCATGCCCATGAGGCGGCCTGGGAACCGCGGCCTGATGTGGGAGAAGCCGCAGCCGTCCGATCTGATCGACGGTCTAGATTGATCCGGATCTATATAAAAGTTCAGCATCCCAACCCTAACCCTGAAATCTTTTCCCCTCCCCCTCACTCTCTCTCTAAATGACGGCGCCAACGGTGCCTCTCCCCCTCCGCCATGGCGGCGGCGCCATTCCCCCTCCCCTTCCCCCACCGCCACGACGCTGCTCCCCTCCCCCTCCCAAGGTGGCGGGCAGGGGCAGCGCCCTCCCCTCTATCGGATCCAGCGGGAGGGGAGGAAGCGGCAGCCCGATGTCCCTGCGACGATGGCACCCTCCCCTTCCGGCGTCGGTGTTTTTGTGCTTGTGATGTTCTTGTGTTGTCGTTGTTGTTGATGAAATATGTTCTTGTGTTCTTGTAACAGTGTTTTCTCTAGGATTTGGCCAAATTTGATTCGGACTCGCATTAAGTGTCAAATCGAATTGGACTTTCTTTTTTTTTATGTTATTTTCGCCCTTTTTTTTGTTATTACGGACGATGGAAGCAAATTGAATCGGATTTTTTTTTAAAAAATTTTTTTTCACCCTTTTTGGTTATTAAGGATGATGACACCTCTTATTTTTTTTAAGTAGTAGAGATTAGAAAAAATGCCCGTGTGTTGTAACGGGTGAAGTCTATTTTTAATCTTATTATTGTTATATGGTTTAGTTAAGATGAAGTTCACTCTGGAAGTTTGCTTGGATATATATATATATATATATATATATATATATATATATATATATATATATATATATATATATATATATATATATATATATAGAAAATCATGAGCTGCAGTTAGCAATCTGATCATCTCAAGTTAGCATGTAAGTTTTTTTAAACATATTTCTTATATGGTTTCTTCTATATCACCAAAAGTGAACGATCTTAAAAACTGACTCAAATATGGATATGTATTTCCAAAAGCAAACGAACTTAAAAACCAATTTATACACGGATGACGTATCAAAATATCGACAAAAACATCTTTAATTTTTATAATAGTAGAGATTAAATATAATCTTATCGTATTTTCAATCGGTACTTGTATGCAGCTTGTGTGGTTATAGCCATTTATCTCAAAGCTTGATATAGCCGGTTCAACTCTTGGCACCTCAATTTATGCTTCTTTTTTTTTTATTTTTTTTGGTGTGTTGCGCGAGCTGCTTGGTGACGCCTGTCATCACGTCGTCTTCTAGCGCATGGCTCGACGTTTATCTCACCATGTTGCACGAGCTGTTTGGTGATGCTTTGTTTTCACGTCATATTCTAGCACAACCTGACCCGGCCCATGGTTATGACGCTGGCATTCTGGCAATCACATCGTCCTCCTACGTGACGCCATCACACAACTTCTTGGGCTCCATGACGTCAGCGAGCGGCTAGAGGCAAGCCAAGGTGAGCATGCAGCCGCACTTGCAATTAAAATGCACACAGGAGTTTATGCGTTGTTGGCTGGTTGTCTAGGAACTCGTTGGAGTTGATGCACTGTTGGAGACGAAAGCATTCGAGTGTATGCAAGGGTATAGAAGTCCAAAGTAATCATTCAAATGCCAAAACATCAAGAATTCTCATGCAAAGGACCCAAGCGTCAAACATCAAGAAATATAGTACCTAGGGAGTAGATTTTTTTGACAGTATGGTGGTGTTTGAAAATCCTGAAGATAAAGATTAAGTGTTTCACGCAAAACGAGATGGTAGTAGCGTGTGATTAATTGAGTTTTAATTATTAGAAACTTGAAAAATGGATTAATCTGGTATTTTAGAGCAACTTTCATATAGAAAGTTTTTACGGGAAACACACTGTTTAGCAGTTTGAAATGCGTGTCACGAGAATCTAAAATTTCATTCAACAATTGTTGGACATTCGAACGCAGCCTATGGCTTTTCATAACACGTTGATTATTTGATCAAGCTGAAATAAGAACACTCAATTACATAGTCACTTTCATTTTGCGGTCAAGCACGGATTGGAATAAGCGCCGGTTTGACATGAAGTTCTTGAAAACACAGGGCATCGAGATAAAATAAAAATTTATATGCTTGTTATTCATACATCTGGTTAGGTTAGAGGGTCAACCTAGATTTTCACGAGCATAAGCAGATCCTAGATTGCACATCAAGGGTGCTAGCCACATCCTCGCGCGAGAGAGAGAGAGATCGAGGTGCTAGCGCATAGTGTAACCATCACCATGCGCACCTTGCATCTCAGCACAATGAAATGTGTAACCTATCTTTTATCCAAAATCAATCATTTCATTTCGTTTAATTCGTAGCACACCAGAGATAACCATTTCTCAAATTCCTCTTTCTTATATCGATTAATGTGTATAGCTGTTCTTTTCAATGCATCTTTCCTTTGGCACAAATGCAGTAAGCAAGCTTATTTCGTTAAATAGTAGCTTCCGCACTCTTTCTACTTACTAAAATTAATGTGAATGATCAGGGCCCTTTAGAGGTTCTAATCATGGAGCACAAAGCTACCAAAAATGCATAGTTTCCTTCAAAAATAACTACTCCCATTATATGTAGTGGCTATCTCTCTTAACTTATCTTACATGTATTGGTATCTCTCATAACTCCTTATCATTCTTTCTTTTACTTAAATGTTAATTTGCACTAATATTTTTCTCATAATCAAATACATAATCAACTGCTTTTTCCTAGTTCTCCACTACGGTGAGCACTGGAAAATACAGTGTAAGATTCAAAAATTATAGTATAAATATATGGAATTTAAAGTATAAGATATAGCATAGTATAAGATTTAACCTTTTTCCTTGAAAAATATGACAACAGAAATATAGCTAGCCATTATTAAATATTGGTTATCCATGCAAGCATACTACCATCGAAAATAATCAGTCAAATCTGCCATTCACAAATATAGACATTTCTTCTTGCTACGCATGTAGAGAAATACTTCCTTCATTTCATATTATAAGTTGTTTGACTTTTTTTAAGTTAAAATTCTTTAGTTTTGACCAAATTTATAGAAAAAGCAATAACATCTATGACACCATATTAGTGTCATTAAATTTTACATTGAATATATTTTGATAATATTTTTGTTTTATATTTAAAATATTAATATATTTTTCTATAAATTTAATCAAGCATAAAGAAGGTTAACTAAGAAAAAAAATGCGTAACAAGACTTATCGAAGTGCGTAACAGGATGGAGGTAGTAATCACTAGGCACTCAAACGCTGAAGCAACTACGTCAGTTTTTGACTCGAGTAGTTAGAGATAAGTACTATTAGTACTATGTTTGTGCTTATAAGAAGAATGTAATGAAGCACGTCACCAGCATTTTGTTCAGCTTAAAAGCATCCCATTAGAACCAAGTAATTTTCCAGATTTGTGCAGAAAATTGAACTAGCTCTTGTGAAAATATTTCCAATTTCTCATAAAATTCATGTGGTCGGAAGTAGGAGGATCAGATCTTTTCAGGAAGTCAGGAATGTTCAGATCGACTTCTGCAAACAGGCCTTCAACCTGTACCCACCTTTTCTGTTCATCAGACAAAATTCCTGCTACATATTGCAGCATGCAATTAAACCAGGCACAAAGATATTTTTTTTAAAAAAAAATCCAACGCATAGATCGAATTCACCGCTTGTAAAAAAGGGAGCAATTTCTGATTGAAGCATAGGTATTTCCTCACATGCATGAATTGAATAATTTCCTGCAGGAACAAGAAAATAGTCTCATCCCGCACACCAAATTGGACCTAAATTATTTTCTTAGACTGGCCTAAATTCCTTGATAACATTACAAATGCCACAAGGAACTACAATGGAGAAAAAAGGGGGAAAGGCAAATTCCTACTGCAGCCTCTGCTGTTTGTATACATATACATAGTTGTTTCGAATTTCACATAACAAAAAGATGAAAACACAGAAGGTTCGATATGTGAGCATCCTGGGACAAAATCGCTCATTATCGGTGAATACCGCATCAACCTGAATATTCCTGGATGATATGTGTAATCAGCACATTTTTTTTATGTGGAGAGTATATATACTACAGAATGTTATGTATGCCTTTTGTAGGGTAAGCACTGGTTAGGGCGACCTCCGAAATTGCAATCCATGGCAACTATGTTGGCATTTCATCAATCAGACACTAGCCCCGAGTGAGCCCTGCAGCAGAGTAGCTTTCTTCAGAAACTCAGATTCAAATTTGCTTTCTCAATGAACGATTAACTGCTCACAGCAATATGTAACTAGTTCTTTTGTCAATCAGACATGTTTATCTCTGTTTCATTCACAGTCTGGTTCAAAAAGAAAGAAAGAAAGAAAGAAAGAAAGCCAATATTTCAACAATTTAAGAAAGAATCAAGAAGCACCTCGCAAACACCATCACAAAAAGTTGCTAATGAACCTTTGATAACAACACAATACAAGCCAAAGGTATATAACACCGAATACATACCTGGAAGGATGGTCTTTCCTTCAAATTCTTAATGGAATGAATTAAGCAGATCAAATTCCTGATGGAAAGTCTCTAATGACGCTTTATTTCATCCAAAATGTTACCCACACTAGGTGATAATCTTGGAAGGTATTTGTATACCTGGAAAATAAGGAAATAAAATTAAGTACGTCGAATTGTTGATCTTATCAAGAGAACATGTATTTCCAGTTATTAAAAAATGCAATGGGTTCTAGCACATGCAAGGTGAACAATTGATTTAAGAGCAGTGTCAGGAAATGAAATTGTATCTACAAAAGGTTGTCTTCCTAATAACTGTCGGCCCAGCAATAAAGTTCAAATCACTTTGTAGAAAGACTATAAAACTTTCAGTTAATATTATCTGAAATGTTAGCGCTGAGTAGCCAAACGTGAATCTATAATGTTATCAACTTTGGGTGAAACTAGTCATAAATTATGAGGCCTTAACAAACACTTATATTCTTTTTTAAAAAAAGATAAAATGAAATAAATGTTTTTTAAAGAATAAAATAAATGTTCATAGCCCTATTAGCTTGATTGTGTGAAGGCAAGAAGTGGACTGACCCAAAATTTTATAAATACATCCAAGGCAACAGGAACCAGACAAACAAAGAAGGTGATTGCAGCTTGATCGGCTTCAAGGCCGTAGTGCTCGAGAATGACTTCTACCAAAGAATGCCAACCTGACTCTGAATGGTACCTGTGAAAATGCAGCTAAATGATGTTAATATAGTCAACAAGATCACAGACAAACCAAAACAATGTTAACCTTGTGTTACGTTTACATGAAAACAAGAAAAAAAGCAGAAACAAAATTACAAACTATCCATAGTTTGTTTGAAACAGAAAAGATGTCATGATGTATAACATAAGCATGAACAGGAAGAATTCCATTATTCGCAAAGCAGTTCATATGCATTTGTGTGAATTAACTTCTAACGGGATACTGTACCACTTAGGTTCACTATTCTAAGTTTCTAACTAGATGATAAATAAGATTCTGCCACACGAATGCTACAAACATCTTTGAAGAGAGAGAAAAATGAAGAAATATTAAGATCATATTTGAAGTGCGAACGAAGAAGAAACACAGAACCATCTGCCTCATTCCTGACAAAAAAAATAGCTATAATATTTCTTCCATGCATTTTTACAAACTTATCCATACTTATGAGAGAATATTTAAAAAATCGCTCATGAATCATGATGACAAGATATAATGAATTGCTTTCTAAAACATGCTGCTGAGTATCCCCCTGATATTAGTTTCTGAAAAGAAAAGGCACTCTCCCCTGGAGGGAGCTCTGGCCTCCTCTTTAACTTCTTTGAACATTTTGGACGAATCTTCTTTTAACAAGAATTACTTATTTAAATGTATGATTTTTTAGATAAGCAGGTAACACATGAGAGAGGTAGGTTAGAACTCATGTTATTTGCCTTTAGTTAGGTTGCTGACATCCATTATCCAGCAAAAGAAATAGCACAATTGTTTAGTGTATGCTTTGTTACAAACTAGGTTCACACTAAAACCACATGTATATATGAACTCAAGAAAAATGAATTGTAACTCACCCTAGAAGGATGTCTGAAACTAGAATTATAAGGAATGCTTTCCCACTGTCTGAAATATTATTTAGTAACTTATATCCTGTGAATTTCAGCATCGCAACCTGAAAGCTTAGCAGGCAATAAGAATAAGTTGTACGCAGGATAACACTAAGCATTCAATGGGAGAGAAAAATAGGCTACGATGATGGATAAGATAGATTGATGAATTCATTGTACATAAATCATGGACTCCAGGTATGTGTTACTAAATGATACTAACAATCAAACATATTGCAGAAACTGAGGTGGTCTTACTACTGCACTAGGTCAGAAAAGTATGATGTATAACCAGGTACAAATAGAATGGGGGAATACTCTGGTCAGTTCATCACTGCAGTTCTTTTGGCACAAAATCATCATGTACTATGTATTAACAGCAGAAATCGGATAACTCTGAGAGAGGCCTAATAGTGCAGAAATTTGTCAACTTGTGGGGTGTTTATTTATAACCAATCACTTAGCTCACATGCACACTCAGAAAGCTGAAAAATTTATTGGAACACAATCAAAGATGGAAAAAAAAAACAAAGCTGCTTATCTGATAAAACATACTTTACTCTGGTTGAAGTACATAAGAAGGAATAGGGAAATTCCATAAACCATGTCAGACCAGATATTTGCAAACGCTTTTCGGTTTTCTAATCTCCATTCATCTCTCAACTCTATCCTGATCAAGTAGCAGAGCAGATCTGTTAAGATTGAACATATGAAATTGCAGGATAGAAGGTCCATTGCTCATGTCAGACAATGCTAGTGCATCAACAGAAGTTACAACAAGGCAAGAAAGTATAATAGTTAGAGTGTTTCTCACGCTTTTTCCCGTAACTCTGACCAGAGCTCATCATCAGAAAGTGGAGGAGATTTACCAATCTCTACTTCAAAACGATATCTTGCTTTCTCAGTATTTATGTCCTTTACCATCAGGAGTTTCTGGCTGCGCCTTACATCAAGCAGCTCAGCAGCAAGTGGTACCTTCTGGACGTACCTGTTATTGTGTAATGTTCCATGTAATCAATTCTGCATTTAGCATAGATGATTATTGATCGCATGTAATTTCAGAAGCACAGAGAGTGAGAAACTGAGAATATCATCAGTGCTTGAAACTTCACCTTATAAATTCCTAAACATCAGATTGGGTGTACATGGAATGCATTTTCTTACATTAAGAAGTGAGGGGAAAAAGTTAAGAAAGTAAAAATGGAACACTGTGAGAGGATTTACCTTTCCAAAAATGGCATCAGAACATAGTCATGAACCAGAAAATCCAACACCCATGGAATCACAATCAATAATGCTAGAAATTTGGCCTGAAAGTGCAAACTTTCTTTTGTTAGATCCAATTTGCTAGGGTCTTAATATAACAATATAATGCTGCTACACTTTTTAACATTTTTAATTTTTAATCATCAAAATGGTCAAAATACACCAGCCACCAGATGCAAAATCATTACCATCAAAATGGACCCTCAGCGTTCGATAATATTGTAAGGTGTAAAGATTAAAGTTTGTTGCTATATTATGCACTCCAATATTATATAGTACTACCTCTATTTCATATTATACGTCGTTTTGGCTTTTTTACCAGTCAAACTTTTTTTAGTTTGACCAAGTTTATAGAAAAATATGGTAACATTTCCAACATAAAACAAACGTACTATCAAAATATATTCAATGCTATATTTAATGAAACTAATTTGGTGTGATAGGTGTTGCTAATTTTTTCTACAAATTTGGTCAAATTTAAAGAAGTTTGATGAAGAAAAAAGTCAAAACGACTTAAAATATGAAACGGAGGAAGTAGTTCATCATATTCAAAAAGCATTACAAGTATCTCATGGTTATCACTGGACAGTGGGTTATAACATTTGGTGACAGAAAACAAGATAGGTAAAGAGCTCACCGAATTCGTTGAAGCATACAGAAAAACCCGGTCTTCAAACAGCATGTCATTGTAATCTTCATCTACAGAGTCTCTGAAAGTTTCAATCAAACCTTTATCCCTCACTATCTCTGTAGGATCATCCGTTATCAGGTCTGACACATCCAAATCCCCACCCCAGTCACCGCCGCCATCCCCCGCTGTGCTACTGCCCCCGCCAATCCAATCCTCCCACGAGCGCCCTTCCGCGTTCATGGCATCCTGCCGCGCCTCCCGCAGCTCGACAATAGCCTCGGCCTTCCTCTTCCACGTCTCAAACTTCTCGTCGTCCGACAGCCCTTCCTCGCCGCCAACCTCCTCGAGCAGCTCCTCATCCTCCCTCCAGCCAGACAAGCTCTCCTCCTCGTCGTTCCAGTCCGAGAACCACGCCTTCCACCATGGCCGCCGCGACGGCTGCTTCTTGGGCCGCCTCCTCTTCTTGGCAAAAGCCACCAGCTGCTTCACCCTACCCCTTTGGGAACCAGTGTCGAACATCTTGCATGCGCAGACCCTCCGGCGCCGGATCCTCCAGTCCACGAAGAGCCGGAGCGCAATGCCGCCTTCAGAGCTTACCGCGGAACGGCTCATCAATCAAAGATCACGAAACGGAGACCGCATCATCACTCAGAACAAACCGGGGAATGCGCATCGGGACACCGTCGAATCTCCCGGGAAATCAGCCGCAATCAGCATCCTTCCTCCCCACCCGCCACCGCAGCAGCAGCAGCAAGCAACAAAAGCCTGACGGATTAACTGGAGCATATAATTGCAAAGATATCTTGGGTTAGATTGCTAACACTAACAAACCCCTCAATCAAAACACAATCCAAGCAAAGCAAAAGCTAGTTCAACCAGCAACCACAGCAAGAAATGGAAACCACACCTATGAATCGAGAAGAAGAAGAAGAAGAAGAGGACGGCGCGAATGGGGATCGATACGATGGGGAGCCCCTTGGCTGAGCTGCTTGCTGCTGGTCGTTGGGCGGTGGCGGTGGCGGAAGCATCCACAGAATGGAACGTTGGGAGTGGATAAGACACGGGAAGGGGACGCCCGTTCCGTTCCACGGATGGCGCCATGTTGCTGGGCTACGTAACTAGTACCGTATTGGCTGTTGGGCCCATTTGTCCGACCCTACCTTTGGCCCAGAGATATCTTTCTCTCTCTCTCTCTTCTTTTTTTAACATCCTATATAAACTGTACTCCGTCAAAAAAAAAAACTCAAGCAAATATGTGACATCTCCTAATACAATAAATCTGGACAGCCCTTTATCTAGATTTGTTGTACCAGAAAATGTCACATCCCCTCCTAGGTTTACTTTTTTTGAGACGGAGGGAGTACTTTGATTATTTGACATCCTGACTTACCGTCGTAGACTCGAGAAGGTCCCACGTGGTCATTGCCACAAGTGTTAATACAATCAAATTATCAAATTTTATAACTTTGGCCTGACCTTCTATTGTAAGTTTGCGACATCGCTACGAGGGCCTTGCTACCTACTGTATCTCCTATCTCAAAACATATATTATATATTGTGTTACACAAAATTCTTAAAGAAAAAAACTCTTGTCGACAAAATTGTCGACCATTTCATTAACCGGATGGGAGTTCTACGAAACCTAAATTCAATAACAGGTTACAAAAATTGTAAATTTAATCATAGTGCACTACCTCAACCAAAGACGGAGCGTCCTATATGACATAGTGGAACACGTGACCCAACTTTGCTGTCCAGAACCCAACATCTTCCCTTCAAAAAATAACCTCTTATTTTATAATCCAGTCAAAGCCAAATGCACTTTTAATATAATTTTAAGATCTTCTTGTTCTATTTTTTAAAGTCTCTTTTTCTCTTTCACTTATTTAGCTAGAACAAGCTTGTTTTTTCTCGGCTACAGCTACCTCAAAGAACTAAAGCTCATGATGATGATGTGAATGTGCATTCCAGGCAGTAAAGGTTCCACTATATTTGTTCGCTTAGTAAGGAGAACTGAATCACTGCTTTATGATATGATAATTCTTCTTAGTTCCTACTTAGTCATGATCATCACCATCGTTGTCAGTTAGTAAGTTCCTTTGGTATAGCTCTAGTTGACGTTGATCACATGAAATTCATGCAATTTTTCTATATTTATATAGATTGAAGTAAAATGTACTCTGTTTATTTAGTATTTGTTAAATAGAAACCTCTTTTTTTGTCTTTTGACACGGGCTGAAAATCTTAGCAATGGTCTAAGCATCAGGGCGGCACCAATCCACCATGTACTGTCACTGATCAGCCATGACCTAGTGGCAAGTGGCTAACGTGTTTGATCCACCTAAACTTTGAGGTGTGCTATGTTATCGACCTCAGCGGTGTTAAAGTTCTATAGCTTATAGTTTTTCCTATCATGAAATATTATGTGATGACAATATATATAAGATGGATCCACACTAATTAGGGTTGCAGAGGCTCCATTCCATATATTTTCCCTTAGAGCATCTCCAGTAGAGGTTCTAAACACAGCCCCTATACTAATTTTGAGAGTTGAGACTAAAAAATCAGGTCCAATAAGGCCCCTACTAAAGCCCCTAAAATAGGAAGGCCTCCAAATTATCCCCTCAGGCCCCCAGTCCCAGGGGCTTTCTCCGCAGCCCCCATCCGCGGCAGAGACACGCGGGCACTTCTTTTTTCACGTGAAATATCCCGCTAGCTGCGCCTCCACGGATCTACGCCGCTCCTCCTGGCCGGCGCCCTCCTCCCCTGCCGACGCCCTCATCCCGGGTGGCGCCCTCCTCCCTGCCCGTCACACTCCTCCCCGGTAGGCCTCCTCCTTCCCAACATCCTCCTCCTGGCTGGCGCGGCGGCACCCTCCTCCCCTGCAGGCGTCCTCCCTGGTGCCCTCCTTCCTGGCCGGCCACCTGCCCACCTGGCAATATCCTCCTGGATCCTGACGCCCTTCTCCCTGGTGCTAGTTGCGCTAGTTGAAGGTATCATGTTTTCATTTTTCTAGTGGATTTGTGGATTGAGTTATATGGTAGCACCTAGCGTGTTTGAGAGAAAAGTTGTCAGTACGAAAATGTATATTTGGAGAAGAAATGGGTAGGAACTAACCTTCCACGATGAGATGGTTTTGTTGTTTTATTATGTGATTTTGTTTTCCTCAAATGTTTGACTGTTAATTAATACAATAATTAATCTCATAATCCATATGTAATTATACTTTCTTTGGAATGATCTGATTGATTTTTTCCTGAATAATCTAATTTATTGAAAGTAGGTTCCTAATCTTGTAGTTTCAGAAATATGAAAAATAGCCATGCATACGCGTATAGGAAACATAGTTTGGATAGTAACTCCTTCATTGACAAATGAAAATCTGAATCCATGTATAATATGGTCAGGTGAGCTCATGTAATGATGATTGATTTCAAGTAGTTAAACAATTGCATTAGTAATAAGGTCAACACAAAAAAAAACTGTAACTGAAATTAGCAGGGGGAAAGATAAATTGGATCAAGCTAATATGGTTTTGGGAATTGTAAGTTTTGGATAGTGCTATATGGTTTTCAGTGTGATTTTCAATATGCATGACTTTGAGACACTGTGCCAGTTGAAATCTTGTGATCGTATTCTAGAGGGTATGGGTGTAGTGCTGCTTAATTTCCTGAGCTACACAATTTTATTTGTACCGATGTTAGTTATATGCAGGTTCTTCGAGTAGACTGTTAAAAAAGAGAAAAAAAATAAGCTGCTTTGGGGTGCTATATGGTTTTCTTTTTAATTCAATTTTGTAGAGCTCTAGCATAACCTGTTCTAAATTCTAATGATTGGAAAAATTTGCTACCATTATGCATTCTACCAACATATATTAGCTAGCATCTGCCATTTTTCCTGAGATTGATTGGAGAAGTTGTCAATTTATCTACTTATTGCAGTGACTAGATTGTGATGGCAAATGAATGTGATTCCTTTATGTGCATGATGTCCGAAGAGACCCATGTTGAGGCATATTCCTTGCCAATGCAAAATGAAGACCTTCATACTTCAACAAATGGTGCAAAAGGAAGAGCCAAAAGATCAAGCAACTTTAATCGTAAGGAGGACATTCAACTGTGCATTTCATGGCAAAGCATTAGCTCGGATCCTATTATTGGCAATGAGCAACCAGGGAAGGCATATTGGCAAAGGATTGCAGAGCACTACCATGCTAACTGTGATTTTGAGTCTGATAGGAATGCAAACTCTCTTGAGCACTTTGGGGTAACATTCAGAAGGAAGTAAGCAAGTTTCAGGGCTGCTACGAGCAAATTGAGCGTCGACATCCAAGTGGCATACCACATCAAGAGCTTGTAAGTTAAATTGTTTATTCATTATTATTAATAACAATCTTGTATGTATGTGAACTAACACTTGAATTTTGCTTCAGGTTCTTGAAGCTGAGGCATTGTACTCATCCAATGCATCGAAGAATAGGGCATTTAAGTTTAATCATTGTTGGCTCAAGTTGAGGAATTCTCCAAAGTTTCAAACTCTAGAATCCCACAAGAGGCCAAGGTCTAGGAAGTCTTCCACCCCAATTAAGAGTGCTGGTGAAGAAGATGAAGAAGGAGATGATGCTAGGAAGAGTACAACTCCTGATTTATTACAGCCAAGTGCTAAAAAAAGACCAATGGGTAGGAAGCAAGCAAAGGAGAAGATGAAGAATGGAGAAGATGGACCATACAAGGAGGCGATGAAAGATTTGCTTGACGCCAAAGAGAAAGAAGCTAAAGTGAAAGAAGAGAGATGGAAGGAAACTAAGGAGATTCAAGAGCACAAGCTCTTATTTGCTGAGCGTAAGTTAGTGTGGGATCAAGAACAGAAGATCATGTTTTGTGATGTTTCCACATTGGAACCAGATGTGAGAACATATGTGTTGGCTATGAGGACACAAATTGCAGCTTCAAAGGTGGCTGCCCTTAATGTTGGATTTGATGGTAGTAGTGGCTTTGGAGGTGAGTTTGGTGACGGTAATGGAGAAGTTTGAGCACTTCGATGGAATAAGTTGGATCGTTTTGGATGATCCACATGTCCTTTGCTAGTAGGATATGTCATTTCCACGATTGGTTCTTGGAGTCCTTTTGTGTTAATTTCTGCAATTATCTAAGTGTCATTTGCTAGTAGGATATGTACTACTTTTAGATTTGTTATTTTTATGATTGAACCATTCATTCTTGTAGGGTGTGTTATTTTTAAATTATATAGTGCATCTCCGCAAAAAAAAATAATGCATCACTGGGTTCACATAGCCTATTGTGGTGATATGGAGACAGACAATGACATGTTGGTGAGCAATTTTCGTTTTCATTGGTGAACTATAAATTTTGGTTGCATGTTGTTGTATATGGCATTCTGCCCACACCATATTTACATGTTTGAAAATTTTGATTTTGGATTTGAATTGTGGCGTTTGAAATTGTAAATTTAACTATGGTTCAATTATACGCGTTAGAAATATTTATGTTTAATTATTGTGGTGTTAAACATTGTGTAAACAAGGATTGCATGTTAAAATAAAAGAGAAACATGAGTAGGGACTAAGAAATAGGGGCTATTGCTAGAGTTAGAGGTATTTTTTGGATCCTTGGAAGATGGGGGTAGCCCTCATTTAACTTTTAGGGGCTTTAAAATAAAGCCTATTGCTGGAGATGCTCTTAGGTAGCAGTGGGTCCCCTACATATGAAACTCAATGTGCACCCTTTCTCCTTTTTCCTCCTTTTCTTTAATGTGAATTGACAATATGGAACTATGTAAAAGAAAGAATCAACAATATGGAAGCAAAACAAAAAATTTAGGGTCCCAGGTGGAAAAATTTTGCTGCAAGGAACTTGAGGGACTAAATCAGTGATTCCTCTCGTCAAAAAAAAAATGTGATTCCTCTTCCTGGAAAAAATATTTCTCCCTTTCTTAAATACTATCATTTTCACTAGCTAAAGGTGAGTGCAAAACAAAAGAAACAATGTTATGTGAAATTACTCCCTCCATGGAGAATCATATGATTTGTAGCTAGAGTGAATGATTTAATCCCTTTTTTCTATAAAGCTACTGCCCACTAAATACCTAAAGCTCAACATGCAAGCATAGTATTTATTAGCATGTCTAAAACCTACATGCAAGCATGCCACACCAACCCATTAAACACACAAAACTCAACATACAAGTATATAGTAATTATATCTGCAATTTATTTCATTCTAAAACTAAACATGCATACACATGCTAAATCATCATTCTCAAATTATTTTCATAATATTTCAATCCAAATCATTTCATCATTTCTCCAATATGTAACATACATCCCGCAGCAAAGCGCGGGGCATCATCTAGTTTGATAACAAAGATAAGCCTTTACTGTTGATTTCATATTTATCTTCTTGTTTACTTTTTGTTTATTCTTCAACATGAATTGTGATCGTCATACCTGATCTATATATTTTTTTTGAGTTAATTGCACTTTAGGCTATAAAATTTTACCAAAATTTTACTTTGGACAAGGGGTAAAGTTATCTTATCATTTTGGACTATATAAATTTACAATAGTTTTAAATTGGACCACCCTTCTTCTCCATCTCTTCTCTTTCCTCCTTTTTTTTCTATTAAGCACCTGCGCCATGGATCTGAAGGATGAATAGATGATCAAGCATAGCACTGGGATCCCTTCTCTCTCTGCTCTGTTCCCGTCTTCCCGAGCTTGAGGAGCCAACAAAAACCAAGCCTCATGATCGCTGGCTGTTGTAGCTGCCGAATGCAAGCTCAATAGAGTGATTTGTTCTAAGCTCACATGATTTTTTAAGGGAAAAACTAGAAGTCAAGCAGCTAAATCAAGGAGTAAAGAAATCAAGGTTAGATGAAATATTGATTGGTTTATTGTGTTGCTGATAAGATTGCTAATGAAATCAAGGAGTGGCAGACAAAAAAAGTGGTTCAATGTACAATAGAGGGTAAGAAATCCTGGACCAAAGTGATAACATTAGAAATAACCTAGTCTAAAATATAACTCATGCAATAATAGCCGGCCCAAAGTGCAATTCACTCTCTTTTATTTTAAAGGAACAAGTTTTTCACGGTGCATAAATACGTTTTTGCATGCACACTTGATATAGCATGCTCTACATCTACGATATTTTACCTCAGGTAAAATTGATTTACTTTATATTTTCCGTAAGATATGCACAGTATATAACTAAGTATGCATTCCAAGGGCAATCGCAATATAGAAGCTATAAAATAGTTTTCATATTCACCATGTCATATAGACATTATATATAGAAACTATATATTCAATGGATGATTTTTTTCACAATAAATTATCTTCTATCACATGTCTTCTCTCTTCTTTCATCCACATATCTCCTCATTTTCATTTTTAATTTTTGCGTAGAGCTGTTTCTTCATATTTTTTTCCCCTCTCTCCTCGTTAACTCTCTTACTACCTTGGCTTTTTTTTTTCTTATATGGTAGTATTTTAATACTATGGAAACTAACTGAGGTAGAGGATTGAGACTGCACTAAGGTAGTGCTGGGATGAGCATACTTAATAAACTATTAGATGGTACATCTTATAGAAAAACTTACTATATTGAAATTTCTTTATAAATCAACAAATATATTTTTAAAGTTTATAATATTTAGTACTTAATTAATCTTGAACTAATGGATCGTCTCGTTTTTCGTGCCACTAATTAGCTAAGAACAACAGCTATATCAAACACAGCTTAAGAGGCATTACCTGCAAATGCCCAAAAACAAAATTATTTTTTTCATCATACCTTTTATTTTTAGCTTTCTTGTAAGTCAAATAATATCTTTATCCATTAATTTCTATAAATTCATATATTTTAACAACATATAAACTTATAAGTATTTCTCATGGTAAATTTAAAATTACAAACCTTATGATGTTAAATTATACGAACTCTTCTCGGAAAACTAATGATCAAAGATACAAATACTGACTTAGGACAAAACTGGAACAACAGGTAATTTGGAAAAGAGGAGTACAGAAGATTTCACATGCGAATAGTTACTAATACTACTGCTCCCTCCGTCCTAAAATATAAAAACCTAGAATTGGATGAGACATTTCCTAGTACAACGTATCTTAACATATCAAATTTTAGATTTTTATATTTTAGGACGGAGGTAGTACATAGTAGTAGTGCTTTTAAACACAATATATAACCACACACTTTCCAGATTTAAGACAGCTGCTAGTCGAGCCATTAGATCCTACTCCCCGCACTGCCCCAAACACCTTGATGCTCCTCTCCCTTGTTCAAGGCAAGAATTTCATGGACAGATTGGAGATGCTCTCTTTGCTTTCTAATTTGTTTAGTATATATATAGTTTTGAAAAAAGTTAGACAGATACTAAGCTCCCTTGCCACTCCAGAACCAGATCCCTTTTCCTCATACAAATCACTCCCTGTTGTCACCTATCATCTTGACAACCTCACCTTTGTTATGAAACAAATATATCTGAGCTTCTCCTAGCTAGAAGAAAATATAATTGTGATTTTGAGTGTTTGATTAATCACCATATACATTTCTTTTTTTTTCCTATTGTCGATGAGTTAAGTAATGTACTGGAGAGTTATTGTCAGTTTCTTTTTTTTTAAAAAAAAAACTAAGCGCTGTTGTCAAATGGCGATGAAGGTGAACAATGCACTAATGCTAAGAAAACAGGATAAAGTAGAAGTGGAAGAAGCAAAGCCGGTTGCTCTGCTCATATCTCCTGCCCTCTTCTCTTTTTGTTTTTCTATTTTATTTTACCTGATGAGAGAAAGGTAAGAAACAGATAAGGAAAAAAAAAGGCACAACAAACTTCACTTTTGTTCATACTATATTTATTTGATATTGCTGGCTGCCTTTTCCTGCTCATATGCTTTATATGCTCATCATCACTACACAAATTCAAGAATTTCAGAAGGGCTGCCTCGTTTTCTGATGTTAACTGATCGATGGCCATTCAAATTGAACTCATGATTTAACATCCCCAGTCAAATAACTCCAAAGTAAAAATCTGCCCTTCAATAATCAATACACACCTTGCTAATTTATATGATCAAATGTTCTATGGTGTTTTGACACTGAAATTATTGCCATACCCTTCAGTCACCCCCAAAAAAAACCCTACAACCTTACCCCTATTTTGAGCAATTGTTTTTCCCTTTCAAAAGGGCTTACATGAAACACAGCTGAAAATCTGAGGAGGTTGCACATATGCAGCACTAAAGCTGTGTTGGTTGCTGGTGGTTACCATCCGGAACAGTGCGCGTTAGTGCGTGTGGAAAACGGAACAGTCCATTAGTGCGTGATTAATTAAGGATTAGTTAATTTTTTTTCAAAAATGGATCAATATAATTTTTTTAAGCAACTTTCATATAGAAACTTTTTGTAAAAAAAAGCATCGTTTAACAGTTTAAAAAACGTGCGCGCGAAAAACGAGAGGGGAGTGTTGGGAACTTGCTCTTGCAAACACAGCCTAAGGCTTCATCCTTTCTTTTTCCTTTTCATATATATAGTTTTATACTAGTAACAGACCCACATTACAATTAGGGATGAGCTAGAGGGTGATTGAAGATAAAGCATTGGATCATCACGCGATGGGAGGAGGAGATGGAAGGAGGCGACTGAGCTTTTACCATAGTAGAGATATCATGCCAAACTCCTTTGTATGATTGTGTGATCTCTGCGGCTCTGCCACACGTTGCTCCACTGTGGATACAACTTCATCTCCTCTTAGAGCAAGTATAATAGTAGGCTATAAGCCGGCTAAATACTGAGGTGGAGGAGAGAAGAAAGGAGAGAGAGGAGAAGCCGGCTGTAAACTTACAGTCGGCTTGGACACAAGAACCAAGAAGCTCTGTGAGAGAGACAAGTGGACCATGTATTAATTGTAAAGAGCTAACTATTATATGGGTAGCCTAAGGGCACCCACAATGGTTATCTATAGGCTCTCTACAAGAGATCCATGTCAGCATATTTTCCTACTTGGAATGTATTAAATGAAGAGAGAGAGCAAAGCTATCTACTAACTTAGAGATAGTCTATAGAGAAAAACGAGGCAATGCATGAGAGAGCTATAGATACCAATGTAGACATACTATTAAGGTGGTTTACTATTAATCGAGTCTATTGCTGAGATGTACATGTTTTATAGATAGCACCTTACTTTACCATTGCGGGTGCTCTAAGAGAAGGCTACTAATAACCTTACCAACAGGTCGGTTGTATTATTAGCCTTGCTCTTAAGCTATCCATACTTCCATAGCCTTTTTTTTTTGTTTTGTTTCTCCTACACCTGGCAAGCCTCTCCTCCTGGAAATGCTGGTGATGAGTCAACTGTCCATTACTTATTGCTGTGATCTTCCTGTAGGTTACTACTACCTACTAACCTGGCACTCACCTGATCTCAACCTAGGGCATGTAAGTACACCCCTGCTGTTCATCTCTGCAATTTTTAATACTAGTAGTCACCTGGTTTCCCCCTTTTTTGAGGATTCTTGCTTGCAGCACAACCTCCACTTGTGGTGACCTATTAATGCCTCCTCCTCCTCCTGTCCCTGTCATGTCATGCTCTTGTTCCTGTGAGGCTGTGATCAGTGCAGACAGCTTCTTCTGCTACCCCCCACAAGCTTCCTCAAAGAAGAGATCGGCCACCATTTTGTGGTCTCATTTCTGAGCTCCCTTTTTGTTTCCTGATTGCTGGTGTTTGATTCCTGTTTTTTTTTGGCACAAGGAAATTTTCTCTGAATTTCAGTTAGTTTGAGGTCTCTGAATTTGCCTGCTGATTGCTGTGTATTTTCCTCACTTCTCTTGTTCCATTTCAGCTGTTCTTGGTACACTTGGCACTTGGCTGTGTACCAAGAACAAATCAGATTCCACATATATATAAGTTCTTTCTTGATCGATCAATCTTTCCTCTAACCTTTTGGTGTGTCACAAGGTTTGAGGCTGTTGATGATCATCTCCAAGAATCAAACATACCCACTCTCCCAGCCTTTTCTGACCGATTCCTGATCCAAGATTAACACCACACACAATCCACAAAATCCCCAAAAGTATCCCAAGAAACACCTCATTTCTTGATCAGAACTACACTCTGCAGAAGCAAAATGGCGCCGGCGCCGCTCGCCGGCGGCAGGCTGGTGCTGGTGGTGGTGGTGGCGGCGGCGTGCATGGCGCGGTGGTCGGAGGGGATCGGCGTGAACTGGGGCACGCAGCTGAGCCACCCGCTGCCGGCGAGCACGGTGGTGCAGCTGCTCAAGGACAACGGGTTCGACAGGGTGAAGCTGTTCGACGCCGAGGACGGCATCCTGGCGGCGCTCAAGGGGTCGGGCATACAGGTGATGGTCGGCATCCCCAACGACATGCTCGCCGACCTCGCCGCCGGCGCCAAGGCCGCCGACGACTGGGTCGCCACGAACGTCTCCAACCACGTCAACAACGGCGTCGACATCAGGTCAGACACTCGATCAGTACCCCAGCTCGCCAAAAAAATATATATATATATATATCTCGTTTTCGTGATGCCAATTGCAAGGTGTTTCGATGAAACGCTTGGCCGTTGGATTGGAAACGGACGCTCCAGATGGCTTCTACGAACAGTAAAGATAGGCTCTTAGGCTGTGTTCCTTCGGGTTGGGAACCCAACTCCTCCTCACGAAAAACGGAGCAGTTCATTAGCGTGTGATTAATTAAGTATTAATATTTTTTTTAAAAAATAGATTAATTTAATTTTTAAGCAACTTTTGTATAGAAAATTTTTGCAAAAAAACGGACCATTTAGCAGCTTGAAAAACGTGCGATGTGAGTTGGGAAAGTGGGGGAAATAACTCGGCCTAGTTTGTATCCGAAAATATAGCAACCTATAGCGTTCAAAATCTATCTCGAAATATAACAATTTCCCTATAAACTCACTTATCTGAACCAATAACACCATACATATTTTCTCATTTTAACCAATCATAACGAACTTTTATTTAGTTTAACCTATTTTTTTAATACCCAAGTAGAACTACATAAATCTTTGTATTTTTTTGGAAGGAGAGATTATCATTTTTTTAGACAACATATTTTCTAAGAGTATCATATATATTGTGGTGCAAACATATTTTTGGTGGAATCTTGGTGTTTGTTGTAGAAGTTAAAAAAACAAAGGTTAACTAATTTGAGAAACTGAACACTACAAATAAAAACTTTAACATCACATTTAGGCTAAGGCATTAGTACTTTACTTCACTCTCAAGACACTGCAAGCCTGCAATAGCAACTAGCAAAGTGTTACTGTCACACTGTAGAGTTCCTGAAACCAAAACCAAAATGAGCATGTCTTCTTTGACATCACTGGTGTAGAAGCTTCACAGGACATCTAGCAGTCACAAAAAGTTAAGGTTCCCTTCTCTTTATTGGCAAGACCATAGCCACAAGCAACTGAAAATTCTTTCTGTTGTTCCAACAGTTCAATTGCAATAATCCTGCATGGCATATCAAAATCAAAGTCAGGGATGCATGCCTTTTTTTGTTTTTTTTTTCCTTTTTGCTCTTTCTCTTTTGCTCAGTGCTACTGCACACACACATCACACATAGCTTTGAGAAAACCATTATCTCTGGTGTTCATGATTTGCCACTTCTGTGATTGGGACATGTATGGGCAGTGATGAAATCAGATTCAGGGGAAAAAGGCTAAAGCTCAAGAAACCGAAGGACACAGCAACTATTTTGAGAGGTTTTGACACGTTTTGGTTTAGGAATAGTCTCTCACAAATCACAATCTCTCTTGTGCCTTTCTAGACCATCTTGTCCAGCCATCCAGAAAGATCATGCAGCTGCTGCCAGTAGCCACATCTGCATTAATCTTGTCTTGAAATTTCATCCACACTGTTTCTTATTACTGAAAGTAATCTCTTTTCACCTTATCTTTAAAAAAATATATTTTATAGCCCTGAAATTTTGGGTTGCTTGGAACCTAGAAGCCTCTAAATTCTGACCAATTCCAACAAAAGAATTTCATAGGTTATTAAAACCTGATATGTTTCAATCATTCAACTTTATTACTAGAGCCAATTTGTTTGAAGATTTAACAAAATTATTGTGGGGCTATAATTAATTGTGATGGTCACAAGAACTTGGGACCATGCCACAATTTTTCTCGTTCTAGCGTCATGAATTTCAGTGGAAAATGCCTGGCACAGAGGCATTCATATGGTATATGGAGATTTTCAGTTCTTCGCAGCATGGTCATGCTTCCCTGTCTGATGCAGATGTCTAACCGTGCTGAAGTGATCCTTGCCTCAAATAATCTTCCACCTCTTCATCTTAAAATCTCTTTTAGTTCTCTGAAAATTTAACTGTGTATATCCATGAATAGATATAGAAACCGGATTTCTATCAATTACCTTCAAAAAAAATTCTCTGAAAATATTCTGCTGTAATAATGTTTTTTTTGTTTGATGAAAATGAATACGATACTAGTAAAAAGCTTTACTAGAATCTTTAAAAAAATTGAACTTTTATAGCTACCAGCTAATTAAATTCAACGCTTGAGATCTTGTTCGTAAGAGTAGAATTTTAAGTACTTACGGTAGTGTTTGGATGTCCTAAAGATGAAGATGAAAATAAAGATTAAGTGTTTCACGCAAAACGAGGTTGTAATAACGTGTGATTAATTGAGTTTTAATTATTACAAATTTGAAAAATGGATTAATATGATATTTTAGAACAACTTTCATGTAGTTTTTGCACAAAACGCACCGTTTAGCAGTTTGAAAAGCGTTTCACGAGTATCCAAAATTTAATCTAAGTTTTGTTGGAGAAAAGAATAGGGCCATATATAGAGAGAATTTACTCGATGAAAAAATGATGCTTTTTTTTTAATTTTCCTGACGGATTGTGGTTGGCAGGTACGTAGCCGTCGGGAACGAGCCGTTCCTGGAGACGTTCAACGGGACGTACCTGAACACGACGTTCCCGGCGATGCAGAGCGTGCAGGCAGCGCTGAAGAAGGCCGGGCTCGCCGACAAGGTGAAGGTGACGGTGCCGCTCAACGCCGACGTGTACCAGTCGCCGACGGGGAAGCCCTCCGACGGCGACTTCCGCGCCGACATCCACGGCCTGATGCTCACCATCGTCCAGTTCCTCGCCGACACCGGCGCGCCGTTCGTCGCCAACGTGTACCCGTTCATCAGCCTCTACAAGGACCCCAACTTCCCGCTCGACTACGCCTTCTTTCAGGTAGGGGTGAAAATAGTATGAAAATTTTTCGATCGTACTAACGTTAGCATTCTTAAAATATAGTTTTTTCAGTATCGATTTGACGTTGATACACTAAATAGTTAAATTCATAAATATAGTAATTATTCTTATCATTTTCAAGAAAAAACTAATAGAAATTTGATATAGTTCTTTTAAGAACTAATAGAAAAATGGTACCGTTTCCGACCATTTCTGAACCGTTTTCATCCCTACTTTGATTCAGGGCTCGTCGGCGCCGGTGGTGGATGGTGGCGTGACGTACCAGAACACGTTCGACGCCAACCACGACACGCTGGTGGCGGCGCTGCGGCGGAACGGGTACCCGAACGTGTCCATCATCGTCGGCGAGGTCGGGTGGCCGACCGACGGCGACGCCAACGCGAACCCGCAGTACGCACGACAGTTCAACCAGGGGTTCCTCACCCACATCGCCTCCGGCCAGGGCACGCCACTCCGGCCTGGCCCCGTCGACGCCTACCTCTTCAGCCTCATCGACGAGGACCAGAAGAGCATCGAGCCGGGCAACTTCGAGCGCCACTGGGGCGTCTTCTACTACGACGGCCAGCCCAAGTACCCTCTCAGCCTTCGCGGCGGCGGCAACGGCAATGGCAATGGCAGCACGCTGATGCCGGCGAAGGGTGTGACCTACCTGCAGCGGCGGTGGTGCGTGATGAAGCCGTCGGCGAGCCTCGTCGACCAGAAGGTCGGCGACGGCGTGAGCTACGCGTGCGGGCTCGCCGACTGCACAAGCCTCGGGTACAAGACGTCGTGCGGCGGCCTCGACGCCAAGGGGAACGTGTCGTACGCGTTCAACAGCTACTACCAGGTGAACGACCAGGACGACCGTGCCTGCGACTTCAAGGGCATCGCCACCACCACCACTGTCGACCCCTCTGCCGGGTCATGCCGCTTCATCATCGAGATTGCGCCCACCGCCAACGGCGTCGCCATGGCGGCAACAGTTAGGGTCGCCGGCGTCATGGCTGCCATCCTCGCCGTGTTCATACACTTGGTGGTGCCCGTGTTCTGAATGGCTCCAACATCCTTAGCTTATCCTCTTAATCATCATGTATTTATCTCTTGTTTAATTTAATTTAAACACGAAAAATAGTTGTTTTTGTTTATCTTGTTTATCGCCTCGCATCCTGCATTCAAATATTATCGGACGTGCTCCCCGCGTACCAATCACAGTAGTTAGATTTGTTTTAAAATTTTTACAAGTGAGGAAGAAAAAAAATCACAGCACATGTACATGAGAGAGGATTCGGTCCTATGACTTTTTTTTTTACCTGGAGTCCCATGATCTCTTTTTATGAAAATAGCATGTTGCATTGAGATTTTTGAAAAGTTACAACAAGTTGTAGTTACGTGCAAGTTATAAAATAATTATATTATGATTGTATTATAATTATATTTGTTAAATTTCCGAAGGTAAATTTATCAACAAGGGACTAGATAACAGCCGGCTGAAAAAAAAATTATCTCAGCCAAATTTTCTGGTCGTCCGATGAACCACACGTTGCCATCTCATGCCTGGACTCCGTGCGCGCCTCCCACGCATGTTGCACGCACAAATAACGAAATGAGGATTTTTAATTAAAATGCCATTATCATGACAAATGAAATTGGCTCTGCCCTTTCCTCTAATTATCATGATAGGTTATCGTTTTTCCCATTCAAATCATTCATGATAATTAATTTTATAACTAAGTGGGAGAAGAAATAGAAAGCAATTAATTCATATACTTCTAGTATGCACTCAATTCCTAATTTACATATACTAGTATACAATCGTGTGGCCAATACCCCCTAATAGTGTCCTCCTGGTACTTCGAAAGACCACTCCGGGTTGCCGAGTTCTTTACAACAACCTGTTATGGTCGTCCAACCGGGGCTGAAAACGGAGTACTCTTGACGGTCCTTAAATCATAATATTTGACCGTCAATACCTGCATATAATGAAATAAAACATGATATCCATTATTTAATTACTTAGTCTGAGTAAGATAGATTTCCATCTTTGTGGGTTCATTATTTAGTATTTCGTACTAAGTGCTATAGGACTAGGACTCTGAATAAAGAAGGAAGTTCCTGCGCAAGTATTAGAGTAATAATTAATAACTTAGACGTGGTGCCTAGGTTAGAGACTACATTTGTTTGTTGTGTATCCCATAGATTTGTCAAATGTAGGCGGCAGGTGGTGATAGCCCTGAATCCCGTCCTAGTAATCCTCCACGTTGGCTTTAGACTTTTCGACTTATAAATTGGCTTATAAGTCTAAACAAAGAGCGCCTAAAGGAATAAGTTCACTTTGACTCCCTTAAAAGTGACCCAAATCTAATTCATGACCCTGAACTGCAAAACCAGATATCTTGACCCCTAAACTGTTAAAACCGGTGCAATTTGACTCCCTCAACGGTTTTGCTGACGTGGCGCCTACGTGGCGATATTGACCGAGTCTTCGTTCCATGTGGCGTTGACGTGGCACTTACGTGGCATTAGAATTAAAAATTATGCGTGGGATCCATTAGTCATTCACACAAAAAGAAATGTGGGCCCACTGCCATGTGGGGCTCACATGTTAGTCCTCCCTGTCTCATTCCTTCTTCCTCCATGTCTCCCTTCTCTCTCTCTCTTTCCCCTTCTTCTTTCTCTTCGGCCGGTGGCGGCGGTGGTAGAGGAAGCGGCGGCATCAAGCAGCGAGTGGGGAAGGAGGTGGGTGGCGCGGCTCACCGCGAGGAGCAGGGTGGGCGACATCAGGGTGGTGCCGGCAGAGCGATGTGGTTGTGGCGGGGGGATCCTGGCGAACCGCAACAACCTTGCGCGCATTGCGGGGATCTGACCGATAAGTGCTTCGAGTTTTTCCCCTCGCCGGAGTTCATTTCTCGCCGCCGCGGCCGCATCCCGAAGCCTCCGTCGGTTTCACGGCCGCGAAGGCGAAGCCGCGGAGGGCGGGAGGAGAGCGGGAGGAGGAAGAACAGTCGGCCTGGCTTGCGGTTCCGCTTCCGCTGGGAGTCACCAATCCAATCCCTAATCCCGCGCTTCTTACTCTCCGCCATCTCCATGCTACGCTCGCTATGTTCCAAGTGATTGTCGATGGGGCTATCTATGATTTTTGGGTGGTTGGGAACAGAAGCCTCAAGTATAGTTCCCTATGTATTTCAGTTGGATTCATGTTGCAAGTTACAGATAAATTTTTGGCCTGTACTAGTTTTACTTGTTTGTTAATCTGTATGTTACTTGTTCGGCTGTGATATCCATCTCTTTTGCAAATTATACCGCTATATCATGTAACGCTTAATCACATTCGTGAGCTAACTTACACCTCACGGTGGTAATATGGATTGTGCATCTCCTCATATAAATTGTTCTTCTACTCATTGAGCTTGCTTCTTCCACTTCAGGTGTGTAGAGAAGGGGCAAGCAACATCTGCACAAAATCTGCTGGAGGCATCGTCTATGATTGCTGATTCCTCATCCTCTTCTCAGCCAAAGGCAGTAGCGGTAGCTCACGATACCATTGAGTTCTCCGAACCATCAGGGCACTGCGCCACTGCCTTTCTTTGTCTCCTGTCTCACGCATTTGGTCCCGACTGATGCGTCAATGGGGATGGCGGCGGGCAGGAGCAGGCCGACGTCGGCATCAAGTAGCGAGCGGGGGAGGAGGTGGTCGGCGCGGCTCACTGCGAGGAGCAGGGTGGGCGACATCAGGGCGGCGCCGGCAGAACGATGTGGTCGCGGCGGCAAGGATCCTGGTGAGCCGCCACGCCCTTGCGCATGTCCGGCTTGGAAGGGGAGAGAGAGAAGGGAGAGAAGGAGGAGGAAGGAAGGAGACACGGAGGACTGACATGTGGGCCCGCATGTCAGTGGGCCCACATTTCTTTGTGTGAATGACTAATGGGTCCCACGCATATTTTTTAATTCTAATGCCACGTCAACACCACGTGAAACGAATACTCGGTCAATGTCGCCACTTAGGCGCCACAGCAGCAAAATCGTCCTCCAAAACCGTTGAGGGAGTCAAATTGCACCGGTTTTAACAGTTTAGGGGGTTAAGATATCTGGTTTTGGGGTTCAGGGCCATGAATTAGATTCGGGTCACTTTTGAGGGAGTCAAAGTGAACTTATTCTGCGCCTAAATGCACGGGTGAAAACGGTAGGGCATTGGGCCTTTGGTTTTGCTCTGGACAATGGGCCGAGGCCTGAGTACGAACAGTACTCCACCAAATACGGAGTGCATCGTATCCGTATACGTATCCGGGTGCCAATTCAATCATTGGTTTTCCCGATCCAAAAAAAAATCGGAGAAATACGCCCTACTCGGATTTCACCATTGAGCCCCTCCAAAACCTGCTATATTTACATCTCCGCCCCTCCCATCGAAGGCGAGAGCTCTTCTTCTTCCCCTCCTCCAAGCAAAAGGCAAAAAAAGCCGAAGCAGCGCCGACGAGACGAGCATCCAAATCGTCGAATCCAGCGGCGGCGGAGGCGGGAGATGGCGGCGGCGGCGGTGATGGTGAGCTCGGCGAGCGGGCTGCTGGCGATGCTGCAGGAGCCGGCGGCGGAGCTCAAGCTGCACGCGCTCGCCAACCTCAACTCCCTCGTCCACGTCTTCTGGCCCGAGATCTCCACCAGCGTCCCCGCCATGTGAGTTGCTCCACCCCCACCCACCTTCAGCTGTAGTTTTCCCTCCCCGCCGGCCCGCTGCGCCCGATGCGGCGTTTCGCGCGATTCGGTTCGATTCGTGGAGTGGGGGGTTGGGGTTTGGTGCTCTATGTATGTGATGATGATGATTTGGATGAGAGGTGGGGTTCGGCTAGGAAGGTGCCGTGTGGAGGGAGGATTCATGCGATTAGTGTCGTTTGGCCTGGTTAGATTCGATCTGGCGATTTTTTTGGATGAACCCTAGGTTGGTTTGATCTGTTAGGCTGGAGATTTCGGGAGGGGATTATAATGGGCGGTTAGTTTCACTGGTACTAGAAAACCTAGGCTTTGTGTATGGATTATAGATAACTCAAACTTCCCTAACTGTTGTGGTTCATTCATGTATTATTCTTCGAGGAGTTGCTGTGGTCGAGAAAAAATATTAATTTTTTAAAAATAATTTGCGTTTAGGCTCGGATTGCCAAGGCTTTTGTTTGAAGGGTTCTAATGAAGCATAATTTTAATCTGAAAACGAGCAGGTGGAGCCTAGGTTGAGACTTCTTTTTTTCTGTTTATTATGGTTGGTTTGAGGAATATGCATAATCCTTGACTTTGAAGTGTCTGAATTGCAAGACTATACGCAGGAACATTTTGTTTGATCTTTAGCGCTTGTCCTGTCAAGTAAAAACATTGAGCTAAGACATGTGTCGTCTCGTTTCTTGTTTATGATTTGTTCATGGGATTTAATGGGAGCTAGATACATTGGAAGAGGCATGTCCATTAAATGTTTTGGCAGTTGCAATTTGGTATTATAGTTTCTGGAAATTATGTTCTTTATTCATTGTCACTTAATAACTTGGTAGAACTTAATATTTTCAAGGACTTCTCTATTAAGCATGAAGTGTTTCTGGTTACTTATTTTATAATGTTATATACTTGTTACAGTGAGAGCTTATATGAAGATGAGGAATTCGACCAGAGGCAGTTGGCAGCATTGGTTGTTTCCAAGGTGTTTTACTACCTTGGTGAATTAGATGATTCTCTGTCTTACGCACTCGGTGCTGGACCACTATTTGATCCCTCCGAGGGTTCAGACTATGCTCAAACACTTTTAGGTGAGGAATTGACTAAATTCATTGCAATCTTCTTATTTTCATGTTCCAAAGAAACAATATTGACATAGTTTTAAAATTTGTTTGTTCCTTTCTTCAGCAAAAGCTTTAGATGAATATGCCAGCATCCGATCGAAGTCCTTGAAAGCAGCAGGTGAAGGGGATGAAAAAATGGACCCAAGATTGGAGGCAATTGTAGAGAGAATGCTGGATAAGTATGATAGAATCCTCTTATATCTTCTAGTAGCTCATCTGTAATTAAATGCAGTTCTCATCTCATTGATGCGGAAACTGTTTCAGGTGTATACTTGATGGAAAATATCAACAGGCCATGGGTATGTCTCTTGAATGCAAGAGACTTGATAAGCTAGAGGAAGCGATATCTCGATCCGATAATCTTAATGGATCTCTTTCTTATTCCATCATTCTATCTCATCAATATGTTAGTCACCGTGAATATCGCTGTGAGGTAAGATTACATCATGGCAGATTTCAATTGTAAAGTCTGTCTCTTAGATTTCTTATTGGTATA